TGATTTCCTTGAGGAAAAGTCGTCAAGTTCTTTGAACATTTCCACCCGAGTCAAAAACTCTTCAGAGCGACACACACACGCCTCTTTTCCTAAGGTTTCACATCGCGTCACACAAGGTGAGGGAGAATCAGCGAACGCAGGATGATGGCGAAGTTTAATTGCCAGAAGAAAACACATCAAATATATTATGCCAATTTGCCAAAAACATCATTTAGTCATCCAGAAGTGTTCACGAGTGGTTGAACTGCACGGATGGGGGGCTTTATGGCGACGGTCAGGGCCACCCTGTAGGCGAATAACCCGCAAAGTGTTCCCTTTTCAACCCCATCGACTTCGCGACCATAAATGGTCATTGAGACTCTACACTTTGGCGTCTACGACGAAATGAAGGCAGCTGATGTAAACAGGGAAATTTCCATGGGGGGCAAAACTTGGGCCGCTTGCAGCGGATTAGAGTTGTGCTCAGTGTAGATTTAAGAGCAATTCGGGCGAAAAGCGCTCAACAGTCTCACAATTGAAGTCAAGTTCAATTCAGTCTAATTTAACAGATCAATTTAAATAAGTGATACTTACATTTCTTCAAGAGATGCATGTGCATACAGTAAAAAATGATTTATTCTGATTGAAACTTTTCAAATAGGATCTGCCAAAGTCCCTATTATTAAAACCCTTTGATTGCACTAACATCACGTCATTTCCTTTTTCAACCATTTAACCTACACATTCGATATTTGAGTTTCATTGAAATAAACACTTGGATGGGACTTTATTTATCTTTCTATTCATAAAATTCACTTATATTCTATCTTCGATCGGAAGCTAGCTAAAACATGTGAACTTGTTTGTCTCAATATTCACAAAACACTGATGATGATGATTAAAAGTCTGCAGCATTTTGAAACAATTCACTTGGTAGTTTTTAATTTCAAGCAAATAAACTCAACCCTGAAGAAAAGTCATCAACTTTTAGCATTCATGAAATCGAAACCATTATCATTTCTTATCTTTAGAGAGTCACGCAGCAATTCTCCAACTTTCTTGCATCAAGTTCATTGGAAGAAGCAACAAGTGCGCAGATTTACAACAGTCTTCCAGCACACTCTTTCGAAGGGATCATGCCACAATCGCGATATTGGGCTTCTCACCCTCTCGTGAGGGTGTTCTGAAGTGTGGTGCCTAATTGGATTTGTCACTCTGCTACAGTGAGTCAATTTCATAATCATGTCGGCGTGTGCATAACAACTCCGCAAGCGACGTAACCAATTTGCGCATTGGCCCAAATAGGACTCGGAAGCACGGAGCTGAAGCGTGTGCGTTACGACAAGATGAGGAAATTAATGAAATACACAAAATATTGCTAATACTGGAAATGACCTTAAACTTCACACGTTCAAGTACAGCCGCTGTGATTTTTGTTAATAAATACTCAAGCGGTTTTTTTCCGATTACACCGAAATGATCTTAGCATTGAGGCACGAGATCTGCCAAGGTGTCGCAAGCGCGACCAGGCGCCCCCACGGAAGGGCCCACCCGCATCGTCTCGACGTCCAGCTCATGTTTATTCAAATTAATCACTTGTGTGTCTCATTAAGACTTTGGCGGCTGGGGAGCAACTTGTTTGCGTTTTTATCGCCGCGTGGAAGACTTAATGTTATACAATTATTGCCATTGCGAGCGATTACTCTGTTTGAAGAGTGTGTGTGGAATTAATTTGCTGTGCAAAGAATGTTACGCTAAAGCAGTGACGCTGCTGTGTGGGTACAGAAGAAAGAGGTGTATGAACTTGACCCATTTGTCATGCTCTCTTCGCAGTCTGCGCGCCCCACAAAACAGGGTGATCTGTCGCACGATCGTCGCTGTGAATTTTCACACGCGCAATCAAGTGAATAAATCATGCTGGAGTTTTCACGTAGGATTCCACCGGCATTCAGTCGCCCATTTGGACTCGATGTCTCCTTCGGCGCGCCGCATCGTTCTAATTCAATTCACAAGCCATTCCAAAGTCACACGAATTGATGGCAGATTTGTTCTTGAGAATATATTAGAGGAAAAGAGAGACCCTTTTTCGCACAACGCTTGATTGACAGTAATTTATCGAACACGCGCGACACCTTAAACAGCTTCGCATGATTTGATCATAGCAGGTATTGCGCAGACAACAATCAACGACAGGATTATTGAGCCTTTATTTGCAAAAGGTTCAACTTTTTGCTCATATTTCGAGAGAATATTTTATCTGAGCGAAAAATGTTCTACCAAATGCAGTCGATGGGATCATTTTTGATCCACAAATTCTCTCTAAGGTGATTAGAAAAATCAATTTTCCCTATTTACAACTCCTTTGTATCTCTTGCTTAGGAGCTTATTCTCGTGAAAGTCTTAAGGGCTGGATGGCAGCTTCTGAAATTGTCATTGTGCTCATGATCGAGTGGGTGATTATCGAGGGACGTCCTGTCCAACGCTCCTCGTCTGCGCGGCGCAGCAAAGCTTGCAGCCGAGGCACTTTGGAGGCCAATGCGACGCGGAACACAACCGCTGGCAGTGCGCCAAGGATGCCTCTCGATCGGGACACGCATGCTAATTCACTGTCAGCGGGAAAAGTGACTCTCGCTGTCGATCGGCCGGGTGGTGAGCGCCCCACTCGCCCGCCAATCGGCTCGCAATTAGCACAGAGACGCGAGATAATGGGAAGGAATTTCATGATCAATGGCAATGCCAGCATGTTGGCTGTGTATGTGACTTGAATTGGGTCTCGCGCTAATATTTTGTCACATGAATGCCTGGGTTGGCGGCGAGGAGAGAAATTTTCAAGTACAGAAATGCTAATTAGATAACAAATCCAAATGGAGGCTTTCCTTGTTTCAATCTCTCGCGCACTTGACCTTATCATCATTCACAGAGATCGGATTGTATTTCCTCAACTATACACACTCTCTCACCATACACAGAGCATTTAATTGCACTCTTATGACAGATAAATCTTGACGTGTCCTTCCTCCACTTACTCACTGCTCCACACAAGTGCCTTTTCTTCACAATTTCATGCAATACACTCCTCTCGCCTCTTCATAGCACACCATAAATTCTTCTGTATAGTGACACTCAAGAACTTCTACTTGAGCCTCACACTGGTCGTGATTGAGCGGCCGTTTATTGAAAAGTTATTAATTATCGTTCTGCGAGATGAGATCCATCTGGCGACCCTGGAGCTGCGCTGCAGTGGCAAAAAATGACCCCGATTCCATCGAACACTCCAAGTATCCCGCCGCTGAGAAAATTGCATTTTCTGCACACTCACGCGCGCGCCTTCGCGGAGGATCGCGGCTTTTTTGTCACACACATCAGACAGCGATACTCAGGCCGAGAGGCTGCTCGAGTGTTCTCTGGCTCCCGAAGGACGTACTTGAAAGAACAAACAAGCTCCAGCCATGAGATTTTGGAAGGCAGAGCATTCAACTCCGCGACTCCTTTCAGACTTATTTGCTTAAGACTTGGATCAAGATTAATAAGCCCGACATTTACTACAGCCGAAGCGCCCGCGCGATAAGACAAGGCGATCTTCCAGCAATTGGGCACATGAAAAATTACAAGAAATTGAGGCTTTTCTGCACTATTATAATTGCTGATTGAAATAAATGTTAATGCACTGGGTCTTCCATTGTATTGTGCTTCTATTCTCCCAACTTCCTTAAGTAATAATCACTGCTAAAAGTGGCGCAAATAGAATTCCTCCATCTTGAAACTTCATTCCTGGAAACCGTAAATTACGCTTTTTTTCAGCTTCACAACTTATGATGATAATGCAAATTGAGCAAAATTCCATGTGAGAAAATGTCTTCCGGAGCTTTTTCCCCAGCAAAGATGCCCATTGTAAACAAAACAATAAAGGAGATGAACTATAAATAGCCTGATCGTGTGTCGAGAATCAACCGGAAGGTCAGAGCTTTTTCCCTGCTTCCTTCCCGCGCGTCTATATTCGCCAAGTTGAGGCACATTAAATGATAGCGGAAGCGAGTGGAAGAATATGCTGAAAAAACATTAAATGCTCACTTCTGTAAACAACATTCGAATGAATATTTTATTTCTCCAATCGACCATCAACTCTGGGCAGCTTTTTTCTCCCGTCCACGCGGCACGTCGGAAATTTATGATTTCCCCGCCAAATCGGAAATAAACTGCCATAAACGGCGCGCCCGGACGGCGAGCGGTGGGCTAAGAAAATCGCACACCACTAACCCAGAGACTTCTCACGGACGGCCGCTTTTGCGAGCCCGATTGTTCGCCTTTTCACCTTCCTCCGCAGCTCGATTTTGACCCGCCGTCAGAACGTGCAAAAAGCTCGCTCGAGAGGACACCCAATGAGGGCATTTCTGTACAGACTTCGAGGCTCCTGTGCGATTTAATATCCATTTGAGGCGACAATTCGATCCTTAATGTTAGCCTTAAATGCAAATTTCTTGTTTGATTTCTAAATTCTTCAGCATTTTTCAGTATTATTTTCATTTTAAAAATTAATTACAATAAGAATTGACAACGACCCAAAATCTGTCTCTTCAAAGTTGCGAAGGGAAATTATTCATAAGAATAAATTATAAGGATAACAAAAGGCATTTACTTTTGCATTGATTTGCCTTCAGAGTTCAGCAACTGGACGGCTGAAGTCTGGCGAAAAGTATTGGAGACCTCGAAAAGTGCTCGTGAGCAGAAGTTTGTCAGAATATCAAGTGGCAAGTGAGCGATCAAGGATAATTGCGAGCCAAAAATTCAAAGGAATGAGGTGAGGTTGGACCTCGGATTAGCTAGAATAAGAATCCAAATAATTGATAGGTGGTTAAATTCAGTATCAAAACCATCAAAATCTGTGCTTGCGGTTAGACAGATTTCCTTTTTATATTAATCTGAAATACTATTCACCTAATTATTATCATCATAATTAGCGTTCGTTGTGTTCAGAGCTTTCCGAATAATTCGAATGAGAAACACTTCAACTGTCGTATAAGCTCGGGTTTTCGGAAAGTCACTCGAGAGAATGAGTCAGCTGTCAAGTCAGAACAAAAAATTGAAAACAAAGTGATTTTCTATACTTTTCTGTGATTTTGAGCATAAAAATCCTCTCAATTCTTGAATATTCGAGTGAGTTTGCATCCTGACACGTGGAATTGTACGGTGAAGTGGTAAACTAACATGCATATTGTGCGTTTTCAGATAAAATCACGGGAAATCGCGATGCAGGACAACCGCCCAGAATTGTACGAAGAGGTGAAGGTGTACAGGAATGCCCGGGAGCGGGAGAAGCACGACAACATGGCAGAGTTGTATGCCGTGATCAACACACTGCAGAACCTGGAGAAGGCGTACATCTGGGACTGCATCACGCCGCAAGAGTACACGGCGGCGTGCAGCAAGTTCCTGGTGCAGTACAAGGTGGCCTTCAAGCAGATCCAGGGTGCTGAGTTCCCCACCGTAGAGGCGTTCGTGAAGAAATTCCGGCTGGACTGTCCAGCGGCGTTGGAGCGTATCAAGGAGGACCGCCCGATCACGATCAAGGACGACAAGGGCAATACGAGCAAGTGCATCGCCGACATCGTGTCGCTCTTCATAACGCTAATGGACAAGCTGAGGCTGGAGATCAAGGCGATGGATGAGCTGCATCCGGAGCTGAGAGATCTCGTGGACACCATGTCGCGCCTGTCGCTCATTCCGGAGGATTTTGAGGGGCGCGTGAAAGTCGCTGGATGGCTGAGCACACTCAACGCCATGCAAGCGTCAGACGAGCTGTCAGAGGCGCAAGTGCGGCAGCTCCTCTTCGACCTGGAGTCATCCTACGCAGCATTCAACAATCTCCTGCACTCCACGTAGTTCACTTTATCACTGAGCACCTTATTTACCTTCTTTACCACTCAATAAACGAAGACGATGAGTCACAAACGGATTTTTTCTTATTGTCCTCGCAATTCGAATGGTTCTCCAAGGTGTCTCCGCTAAAGCTTTGACGAAACCTTCCAATGACGAACCAAAGCACCTCAATTCCGGCGCGAAGGAGAAAATTAGTAAAACCGTCTTGAAGTCTTTCTCTGTGTTTATTTTATCTTGTCCATTCCATAATGAAAATTTTCTCATGTCTCTTTGCCTCGCTATTCCTCTCACATATTAAATTCTCCACAAATATTCTTTTTTTGCCATTCTAAAGAGTTAAAATGCAGTTTTACAGTTTTTACTCTATATAAAGTTTTCTTGAAACGTTACACATAATTTTTTTATATCTGTTCCTTTTTCACGTAATTGTTTTTTTTTCACCATGTTTTATTTAATGTATTTCTCTCTATTATACCCTTTTATAAACAGTAAAAAAACGTGTCCATTTTTTAAAGTATCTTCTTTAATTTTTTCTTTGCATCTCATTTAAATATGCATACAATTTTTTCTTCTTCACCTTAATTGTTAATTCATTTTACTTTCATCTGTATATAATGCTTTTCATCCCCATTTTTTTCTTTTACTACCAATCAATTACGATTATATCAATATATAATTTTTTTCTCATTCTGCATAGCAAAGTAAAATTGTGTGTTTTACTTCATATTCTCCACTAAATTGTATCATTTAAAATGTAGATTTTGTTTCTCATTTCCTTTTAAATTAAGTGTTTTTAGCACATTAAAGTTAATATTTTGTTTAAAATAATATTTATTTAAGAGAAATTAAATCGACAGGGATTCATTGAAATTGCTACAATGCAATTTTATCCTCTCTTCAATCATTTACCATCATCTTTATCTTTTTTTTCTTTATTATTATATATTCATTCTTTCATCATTTATATATATATATATATGAATTTATATGTTATCAATAGTGATTCTTTTCTACTAAATATTTTTATTTTTCGCTTCTTCGAAAATTGGTATTCAATTAAATAAAAATTAATCAAATACACCCATAAAAGCGTCCTCTCCTCACGACCTCATCAAATCAAATGTCCAGTAGTCGAATATCTTCTCTTATCTGCATGTATTTTCTTGTATGTTTGCTTCATTATTATCAATTCTGTCTGTTCAAAGAACAGCACAAATTACACCATTTTACATATAAATACGGGATGCTGCAACATGTAGAGCGTGTTAAATTCTTCGCCATTCCCACTTTTTTTTTTAACTTCCTATGGAGCAAATATATTCGTTTTGCGGCGTTTTTGGTGATTTGCGTATTTTCTCATCAATATAAATCTCTTTTTATTCATCTTTCTGTATTCTTTGGAGGGAAAGGTTTTCGTCAAAAGTGCGCATCAAATTTACTTCTCACTGCCATACAAAGTGTCTTTGTCGAAATAAATTCGTCATCTTATTCTTCATGTAAACAGAGAATGCACGCTTTTCTATTCCTTCACAAAACACATGATTTTTTTGTCTTCATCTCCCTGACTGAATATCTAGAAAAATATGCCGTGGAAAAGCAAGAACAAGAATTTAACACTCTTTGAATTGTGTATTTGGATGGGAAGTGAATAAAAGTTCATTGTTTTCATCTCTTCATCAATTTTTCTCTCTTTAATTTTGAGCCGTCCAGTAAGTTTTGCCCTGACTGCTCGACTGTGGACGCTGACCACTGCTGCTTGAGTCCTGAAAGCAACAAACATGAGAGAAAACATTTTCCAAAACGTCTAATCGACACTCTTCGAGTGGATACTTTATCTCTTCTGTGTCTACAATTTGGCCAAAAATTTCTTATCTCACGGAAAACTCAAATAGAAGAGGAAAAATATTTCATTCATGAAAATAAAATAAAAACTCATAAAAAGGATAAAGAAAATAGTAAAGAGAAGAGATTTGCTCAGGAATTGATTGTAGCAAGTAAAAACTTATTAGAAAAAGCGAGCGAAAATCAATAGATACTTTTCCATCGTCTCCAAAATCTACTGCAGCCAAGGTGGGATCACACATAATCAATACAAGCTCTCTCATTTTGTCTACAAAAATCTGTGAAAGACATGCATATCAAGTTCATGATCAACACAATCTTCAAAATAAGAATCTACTAAAGGAACCAATCAAAAGAAATCTCTTCTGTGGTAAAATCTCAAGTTTGAACAGCGAGATAAAATAAATACAGACAGCTTTTACAAGGATATTCTTCAACACATCAATATTTTACATTTCTCGTTCCAAAAGAAAATCATTACACATTTCTGGCATATAAATATTCTCTAAAGAAATTTCAACATTTTCCATATATATATATTTTTTATTATTATTATTCTTCTATATGTGACACTTTTCTTCACAAAATTTCATTGTCTACAAATAATATTTTGCATAGCCTTCAATACTTTATTATATATCATGCCTGTTCTCGTCGTGTTAAACTCTTTCATTCTCACTCATTGTCAATAAAATTTTTTTACTCAAAGAAAATCAGACTCATTGACGTTGAGACGTGATTAAAAAATAAAGTCCTATAAGAAATAACAAAAGAGAAAAATTGGTGAAATTTCACACACAAAATGTGAATGAACAGATATCAAAAAAATGAAAATGTATGACTTTTAATGGTGACACACAATAACAAAAAGTGTGTAAGGATATTTCAAAATAAGATGAAGAATTTACACTGTGAGAGAAAACTTCTTGCCAAATTCGCCCGTGCCAAGATCAACGGAAACAACGTCCTATGTTCACATTATGAAATACGCCAACGACACCAAAAACTAAAAGAATTACTCATGCGAAGAATAGAGAGGTCAAAAACCAAATGATAGATTCTTTGCTTTAACATCTTTTTTCTCTTTATATTACTGTCAATGATAAAAATTAGACAAAATAAAACATAAATCATGTCAGTGCTTTTCAAAAAAAAATCATCTCATCGTCACTTTTCCAGATCGAGACATAGAATTTATTGTTCTTCCTTCCCTATAATCTTTCACTCTCTCTCTCTCTCAATGATTTTTCTCATTAATTTTGGACAGCATTTATGCTCTCCTCTCTCATAGAAAAAATAGCATATGTGTGATATTATGTACGGATAACTCCACAGAGACAACCGACTAGTTGTTGTCGTACGAGTTGAATCGAGCACCTACCTGGTGGATCGGCTGGTGTATGTTCATATTGTGATGGGGTGGCGGTATTGCCGGAATGTACATTCCGTACGGTTGGGCAGAAGTGGCTCCTGCCGTTTGGGTGCCGGCCAAATTGAATGGTGGCGGAGTCCCCGAGTGGAAGGACTGCTTGTCGTAGGACTAGAATATCGAGATCAGCGATCAGTACAATTTCAATCACTCAGCAAAAGGAGGTGTGCGATCTATAAGGGCTCAGATTGGATGGCAAATTCACCCAAATTCGAGTGTCATTTCGAATGAGAAGCACTAAACATCACTTTAGCGTGTTTTAACACTGCTTTCTTTCATTGTTCACTGTCACATGTCAAAACAGTAAACTTAAATGGTAGTTCTCGACAATAAAGTGTTGATAATCGCGATGTTAATTAACATGCTAAAGTGAGGTTTATGCGTGACTTAACATTCTTGCAAGGAAATATATTTAAATCTAAGCTTTAAATTCATAATTCTGAATAGTTTATGACGCACTGTTTCATCTGAATTATATTGATTTTATTATTTGAGTGAGAAATGTGAACGATATCGAATAGTGTTCCTTATATTTTAAGTCATCTTCTAGCCATTTTTTTTAATCAATCGCTTATACAATAGTTTGAAGTAAATTTCTAAATCATTAGACATTTACGTTACGTTTTAAGGCAATTTTAAACAGAATAAGACTTCGAAACTCACAATACCTATCAATAAAACTATGACAATAGAGTGTAAAGAAATGCGGCTAGTTATCTTAACACACGTGGAAGTGTACTGTTTCGTATTTGTCTGACACACATTGTCCAACAATGTGAACGCCAAGTGTTAATGTTTCGTTTTAAATTTGACTCAATATTCAAAACACCCATCTTTTCTCCTATCTTTACTATCATAAAATACACCATGGAATATAAGTGACATTTATCATTTTGGAAAGGCATAATTTATCGAATAAGTTGTAGCAAAAGCTATCTGTTGTTCATTTGGACTTTATATGATGATAGAGAAAAAAACATTTTAACTACTTATTACCCACAAAAATTCACACTCATCGCTATTCAGTTGGATGCACACTTCCAAATTACACCATTTTCCTTTCCAAAAATACACACATCCAATCAAAATTTCCACTCCACACTCGCCTATGCTGACCACATTTTATTCTTATCCATCACTTATAGTAGTAAGAATTTCTTTTCCGTGAACTTACATTCACTTTGTTGAGCGCCACGTGAGTCTTGCTGTACATTGACGACGTGATGTCCGAACCCGTGCCCGCTGGCGGCGGATTGTTCACGTTCTGCCCCTTGGATTGCTGCCCCACGCCTGATCCCGGATAGGCACTCTTGCTGTAATCCTGCGTCGTCTGACTCAGCGTATCATACGTCGCCGATCCGTACGCACTGTTGTACGTTTGCTTCGGGAATTGGCCCGCCGATGTGGCGCTCGCAGTTGCCATTTGTTGCTGCACAAGCCAAGAGAAAGAGGGCGAGAAACATCAACGCATTAGTCATACAAATTATCAGTGGAAAAAATGAGAAAGCATCACTTTTCTCACCGGATACATTCCATACTGGAAGCTCCCGGCCGGCATTCCGCCATACGCAAAGTATGCATACGGAACATTCATCATCGGTCCACCAGATCCCGTTTGCTGTGACATTGTACTCGGCACCTGTGCGAATGAACACATCACGCGGCATGAGAAATCATCATGAATTGGAGAGAAAGATAAACGTACATTACTAACAGGACTAGAATTATTGTCTGTCCTCGTGAATCGTCCATCGGACATTGTCGAATATGCTGCCACTGAACCCAAATTTGCATCCCTCACTCCAGTCCCCAAGCTCGTTGGCGTCTGATAATTCAGGTTGTAATATTCAGGTTGCTAAGCAGACAAAGATAGAAAAAAAGAGAACAATCATCTCAACTCTCTCGCTAAAACCACCCATTGAATGGAGCAATTGTAACTCACCACGTGCGGCATCCTTTGCTGCATCATCTGGATGTCCTCGTACGCGTATACTTGAGGTTGATAGTACGGGACACCCTGAATGTACTGCTGACCGACCATTGGAATATTCATCACACCGCTGCTCTTAGCTGTAATAATAATAACAGAATGGTTCTTCAATATCTTTTTCGCAGAATTTGATCAAAATAGAGAGCAAAGAAAGAGTTAGGAATGAAGATAGTGAACTACAATTGACGAACGGAATCAAAAGACTGCGAATAGTTAATTGACTGTAATTGAAATAACATGAAAAACCTGCTTAAATCGCGAATTTTGACATGAATTGCGCACAACTGTAAAAAAACAACAACATGAAAATATGCCAAATTTCTGCCTCATTTGCAGTACATATTGAAAATCAACGAAGGAAGTTTCTTCTCCGAGAAGTATAAAAGGGTCTGAAGTGAAGTTATGAGAAAATTTGTGAATGAAAACGACAAGGAAAGTTCGTTCGTCACTTAAAAGGTAAGAAAAGAATCGTGAGGATTCTTATTATCGACTTGAAGAACCCTGATCAATTCTGAAGTTTTAACTGATGCAGAAAAACTTCTCAATTGCACACAAATAACTTCAAAACATTCTTTGTGAGACATTTTCCCACTTACTTGTTGCACTTGTCGCTTTGGTCAGTCCCAGAGATGGTGAACTCATACTACTCGTAGTCACGGCAGAATTACTCACGGCGCTCGGAGCACTACTCGACACCGAACTCGAAGTTGCGCTGTAACGATAAATCAAAATTTCACCAGTGTTTTCATGGAATCTACATTGGACATATGTATTAATATATTTCGATATGGAAATTGTGAGATATTAAAGACAAGAAGGTTTCTCACTCAAAAACATGGAATTTAGCACATAAACATCAACAACATATCAATCAACATGATGATCCTTCGTGAACTCTTTCTATACATTCTGAACAAAATTACCTTTCAAACGGAGTGCTGATTGTTGTGGCAGCGTTCTCTTTCAGCTTCGTACTTGTGAAATTACTGTACTGTGCCGTGGACGTATTTGTACTTCCCGTGTACCTACTGTTAACACAACAAATTCATTTCTTCCTCCTCTCCAAAATACTATACTTTGAAGCCACCATGTGATTTCTCCTTGTGCGTCTTTTCTCAAATTACAAGTTCCAAACTGTTAGAAGAAACACTTCTTCTGTTCATCAAAGTGTTAATAGGCATTAAAAGAGCAGTAAATTCTCTACAAATGCAAAGTCTGTTCTCAATTGGCGCCTTATTTATCGAATACTCTTCTCAAAATTGACTTTTTTATTTGATTATCTCAGTTGAATGACTCCCAGAAGCCATTATTTCTGGTGGAAACAGCACACAGAAGAAGTAAAAAAAAAAACAACAACAAAATTCACACGACAGAATATTCTCACAGCATGATTATTGTATTAATATTTTCTCGTGATCTGAGAGAACGAGAGCAAAAGAGGGGCACAATGGTGAGAGTTGTTGAAAAAGAGTGAAAAGCACAGCACAACTTACCCACTAGTTCCATACACACTCGGGCTGTTCTGATAAGCACTCGCCTGTGATGGAAACACGGATGACGATTGACTCACGGGATACTGGCTGGATAGGTATCCGGTATTGCCGGTCGCACTACAGTTTATAACGATCGGAAGAGGTCACACAACATAGAAGATAGACAGAGGGAGAAAATCATTAGTTGTGTCCACAATTTGTTAGTCACGAAGAGAGAAGAAGAACAAAACTCGAAGAGAGATATACTAGAGAGTTGGTTAATCACTCACAATCGAATTCATTGAGAAGCGAACTACCCTTACCTCGCACTACTGCCCACGCCAGTGCTTCCGCCAACGGGAATACTGGTCGTGGAGCTGCTGTTGGATACGTTGCTCGAGTTATTCACAGCCGCCACATTGTTCGCACTATTCTGACTCTGGTACGAATTGACCGAGTTCTGCTGGTACGTGCCGTATGAGTTGCTCGTCGGTGGATAGCTATTCGTCGATGAAACCTGGGTGCTGGCGTAGTTGGTGTTGCTGTAGCCGCCCTGGCCCGTGGCCGACGCCTGATACGACGCCGGCCCCTTGGCAGACGTATTGTTCGTATACGGCACTTGGTATCCACTAGCACCACTTCCCGCACTGTTGTTGATCACATTCACGGAACTATTCACGGAACCCGATGATTGCGACGCAGAATTGGTCGTTCTCTGTGATGAAAAGAAGCCCCAAGAAAGGCAATGAGCCAAAAGTCCTACAATTCCCCCCACTCAAGCGAACCACTCACCATCTGAGATGTCTGCAGTCCCGCTGCCAGTGATTGCTGAGAATTCTTTGACTGGTATTCCGACGACACATCACCAGGATTCGCCACATTGGCCGACGCGTCCAAACTCGTGGAGTTGAACTTGTCAGCGAGCGCGTCGAAGGAATCCTCCGTGCCAAAGTCCAGCCCACCAAATTGAACGTCCAAGTAGCCGATGTTGTTCAGCGTATCTCCTGGCATCTCTACAGCTGAAGACGGAATCTTTGACGGCGGCGGAACACGCGCCCGCGTCTTCCTCACCGTCGGCTGCGAAGACACGCCATCTCCGAAGCTGTTATTCGCACCATAAGCCGCAGAATATTGCACTGAGGCCGGCTGAAAAGGCACAAAGTTCATTTGAGATAAAGGAGAAGAATATCAACCAATGAGCAATTGAAACATGTAAACATTTCTGTCATAGCCCTTATTGCGACCACAACAATTGATTTGTGTTGCGTACATTAAAGGAGAAATATTTCACTCTTGCCTCCGCAGATTAAAGAAAAAAACACTTCATCAATTATCTGATGAATCTTTTGCCCAGTTTTGCGAAGGCGCACAAATATCGCGTGTCAATAAATCCCACATTAATCCCCATCCAAAAAACCCCAGCGTAATTGATCGCAAATTATCGACAACAAGCACTAGACATTAGAGAGCTCATTAACCGCTCGCACCTGATATGAATTGACATTCGCCGTCTGACTGGAATTCTGCGACGAGAGAGAGTTGAAGTATTGAGATTGCTCAGCCGACAGTGTCGATGAGTTGATCTGGGGCATGTCGAGCGCCTGACGAATTTGCGCCGCACTCCCCAACTCCGGATACTGCACCGAGTTGTTGTTCATCGCCGCCGTGCCCGCGACAACAGCCGCCGTCGTTGTGCTGGACACAACGGCACTGCCACTGAACGGCTGCACACCGACCAAATCATCACCCGACGGCGGATTCAGGATCTGCTGCTCCAGCCCAGGCGGCGCTGACAACTCACTCGACGTCGCCTGAGTCGCCGAGCTTGGCGTAAATACTTTGCTATCGGCCAATGAGCCGGTGTACTCCTCGTTGTCCCAGTCTCCCCAAGTGTCTGCAACAGACAGAAAAAATGCATAGATAAAACCCGCAAACTGACGTAATAGGATTTTTGCACAACCACACTTTTATGGACAATGTTAAAGTGTTATGACTTCCACTGACCCCACAGCAATTGACAATGTGCCGTGTGTAAACGGTGAAAGAAATGCTCTTTTTTCTAGCCTTCACAGATTAAAGACTTCCATCTGCACACGATGTGAATCTTTTGCCCAGTTTGCAAAGGCGAAATTCGACTGATAAATTTCCAATTCAACTCACCATCAGCCTTAACGTCGGTGGTGTTGGCCTGACTATTGTCCCACGAGTCCACAGTCTCGAGATTGTCCGGCTGACGCGCGAAGCCACGTCCTTGGTCGCGAGAGCTCGGTCCGCGCCCCATTCGCCCCACGCGTCCGCCACGAGAGCTTCCGTAGCCTCCTCGGCCGCTGCCGCTGCGCCCGCCGCGTCCGGGGCGCCATCCGTCGCCCCCCTTCGACTCCGCAGCGTTGCGCTCGTTCTCGCGCGCCTCCCGGCCACGCCAGCCGCGACTATCCGAGCCCGTGCGCCCGCCACGCATCCCGCCGCGGCTGCGCGAGCGCTCCTTGCCGTCCGCCACCTGGCCGCCGGTCCGCGCGCTGGACGTGTTGTTGACCTCCAGCCACTCGCCATCCTGTCCCTCGTTGTTGTTGTTCGTGGACAGCGTGCGATTCTTTGACTTCTTCTTCGATGTCTTCTCGAAGGCGTCTTCCGTGAGCGTCTCCAGGAGAAAGATCACCGCCCTGTCGAGATCGTTGTCACACTCATAGAGAGCATAACACACATCCTCTTCAGACCGCTGAGTCGTCTCCATGATCTTCGCCACCTTCTCCTGCATCTTCGAGTCCTCGTGACCACCCTTGATGTCCGTTATCTGAGCGATGCGGATCTGTTCAGCAGTTGGCTGTGGAAGCATCAAATACTCCTTTAGATTATCCCACGCACAGTACAAGAAAACACTTGTTTACCATTGCATTCGTCAATTTAAAAGCTATTCCGCGTCACTTGCTTTACTAGAGACAAACTTACTGCGGAAATATCGTAAAATAACACTTTTGCACGAATTCTCAGCATTCTCTTACTCGTCTTTATGAATAAAATCATTGCAAAGTGCTTATAAATCTACTCAGAGTCCAAAAAATCGATCCAAATTGCACAAAAAGCAATTGTTGGCAATATTGAACTGAATTTGAATGAACAAATGGAAAAAAGCTGTTCTTCTTTTGACATTGTGACTAAAGACTAAAACGGAATTCCCAGAATTTCCATGACAAATTCACTCATATGAAATCAATTGAGAAGTTCAAAGTGTGACAAATGCTTGTATTCGAAAATATTCCTCTCTCCCATTCTCATTACCCAAAAGAGAGCTTTCTCTCCTCTCATGTGAAGAAAACAAGCGATAAACTGAGTTTTGAAATCATATTCATTTTCCACACAAGATTACCCCAAATATCAAGCAATGCAAAGTTTGCTCTGTGACGCCAAAACACGCACACAAAGAGCACAACTTTTGAGTGCCTTGAGTGAATCATAAACACGATTTGTTTGGAGATTTATGCACTTTTCTGCATTTTGGCATGTTTCAATTTACAGCTAACAAAAACATTGTGTTTCCCGTGGACAAATTAGCTCAGCTAAAAGTGTTCTGCAAATTGGAGCATATTCTCGCATGAATGAATAGGAGAGAGTTTGTTGTTTCCGCATAATTTTATCAATGAACTATTGCCACGGAAATATTGCCGGAAATGCGATACGGTGTGCAATTAATCAAACAGTGGATGATTTACTGGGGTTGGTGAAAGAGGAGCTTAAACCATTTCAAGGGAGTATTGATTTTTTTTGTATGCTAGGGACAATTGCGAGACTTTTGTTTATCAGTCTGGCGAGTGGAAAAGAGCTTTTTTTTGAGGAGCAATAATCTCACCTTCGCATGTGGTTTCTCCTTCTCTGTCTTTGCATGCTCTGTTTTCTTGTTGGTGTTCCCATCATTTCCGCCAGTTGCCACTGGATTTCCGCCCTTCTTAGCCTTCGGGCCGCCGCCGCCTCCTGAACGATTCTGTGTGCTCATCGCTATATACACTGTATATATTTACAAGTAGCTGCAATGAGATCAAAACCCAGAAAGTGCATTAGTGCGAAAGTCCCACCATTGTTGCCTCCACTCAATTGACGGCGCGCCGTTGCTTCTCTCTCTCCCCATTTCGCGAGTGTGGCACGCATTTTTCGGGGACACCGCACGCTCTCCGTCCGGGCGTCGAGGGCGTGCGATGACGAGCAGAGGACAATGACCATGACACAACCGGAAGACAAGCGCGCCTCGAGTGGGCGGCCGGGAATCGATTTTGCACCGCAAATCCGTGCTAAGGTCTCAACACTGATTTCCCCCTGCAATAAATACCAGCAAGGCCGCGCGCGCCCCGCGCTCCTCAGGCTTTTCCCAGCCGGACTCCACGTCTTGCGGCTCGCAGCGCGAATCATCGGGCCACACAAAGGCCACAACAATTTCGCGATTTTCCCTCGCCGCCGCCCCCGGAAATCCCCCAAAACACCACCCACCGTCTCCCTCATGGCGCCATGGGCAATTTTCACATCTCCCCAGACGCCCGGTGTTCCCAAAACCACCCGAAAACCCATGGCAATATCCGAGGAGACCATGTGCCAAATAAAATTACAGACGCCATTTCTCTTTCAAGTGAAAATCTCTTGACGGAATGTCGCTCAGACGCGTCACATTTTTCTGACTCATTCCGCACAGTCTTCCACATTTTTCCACCACAAACCACTGCCCCCGATCTTGCTGCACACCTTGGGCACACTTTCCCCCGCGTATGGACACTTTTTCGCCCCGGAAAATGCAATTTTATCTCAAAAGTCTGACACCATCGTACCTGCTTCTATGTACTCGCTAGAAACTGTGATCACGTGACCCTCGGTCGAGGCGACGCCTGGTGAGATTTCGCACCGCGTGTCAGCGAGTTTCGCAGTCAACTTCAGGCCAATCGCGAATAGGCCTTTGTGTTTTGCTCTGCATTTTCTACAATTTTCCCGAGGAAAAGTGAGGAATGTCTCGTGCATCTCTATCAGCCTTTCATGCGGCCAGTGGCACTGGCAAGTTCTACGAGAGATCCGCCAAAACTATCAGATTCGTGAGATATGGATGCGCTAACCGGCCTTTCTTTCACATTGTGGTTATGGAGGTTAGAGCCCTGCCCCCAGTCCTCCGGACGGTGATTCTCACTATTACTCTCTCTTTTCAGCGCCGCAAGAATCAACACGAAGCCCCAATCGAGCAAGTGGGCACTTACGACCCTTTGCCCAATCAGTACAATCAACAGCTCGTGTCGATGAACGTGGAGAGAATAAGGCACTGGATTGGGAGTGGATCTCACCTATCGACTCCTGTGGCTGAACTCCTGGGGTTATCTGGTCTCTTGCCAATTCACCCACGAGCCTACATCACTGCGTGGAGGAATCGCAAAGCATTGGCCAAAGCCGAGGAGGAGAAGAAAGCCCAGGAAAATAACACCTTGGAAAACACACCGAAAGAGTGACTCTCTGCGTCAATACTTTTCAAGTAGGAAAATAGGAATAAATAACATTACAAATTGCCTTTTATCTCATTATTTTTATTCGCTAGAGTCTCTTAAACCACAATGTCTTTATCTGCTCAACATTCTCAATAATGGTGAATTTATATAAAAGAAATACATAAACCAGAAGAAGGTAATTAACATTCTCGATGCATTCTTGACGAGAATACAAATCTTTACTACCCTAAAATTTGTGTCGGCATCACAATTTGCTTGGCCATTTTTTCATGTTCGAGAATATGGGAAGAAAAGGGTAGATTTTCGAGGCAAATGTACAATTTTTCTAAGCAACAATCTTGATAATCTTCTGCGATGCTCTCATTCTCGGTGGTTTTAGTCTCTACAATTCACTTCATTCCTTCTTGTGAATGATATCCTCGGCCATCTTCTTCGCCTTCTCCGTGAGATTGTCCAGCATAGCATCAGTTTCTGGGGGAAAGTCAAGAAAATGAATTCTTATTGTCTGTTTTATCAACATTGACAGATTTTCCTACGTTTCAATTTGAAGTTAAAGTAAATCTTAATTGATCATTGTATCGATTGATTCTCAGTATTTTCAATTAATGACAGCGCAAAGTTGTTTGACGTAAGATCACGTAATTAATTGAAAATATCTTCTAAACTTTCATTTGAGCACAAGTTTAAAGCTAAAAGCTTGAAGTTGAATTTCCCAAAATTAGTTATTTCGTGATTTATCACGAAGAATTTTTACGACAAGCATCTTCAGCCTCAAAAAGTCCCCCATCAAATCATAAACTTTTGAGACATTTTTCTCGCTCTCCACGGTGAATATCAAGTGCGTACTCACCGGAGGTGTGCTTCAAGAAGAACGGCCTGATAAATCTGTGGTAGAGGAAGACAGACCCATTCTGCTGAATGGGCGCCATGCACCACACGAGGAAGATGCACTGAAAGAGCAAATCACAGTGAGTGCAAGAGCGTCTCGAGGCCGCGGCTAATCGTGTGCCTCACCTTCAGGAGCCAGTAGAAGGGAATAAAGTTGGTGATGAAGCCAGAGAAGAACTCAGCAGTGGAGAGAACGGCATAAATGACCCAGTAAGTCAGCCACTTGGTGTCGTCACTCTTGTCCTTCGTCTCGATGGCCTTCATGGAAATGTAGGCTGGATAGATGATGCCCACGGTGTTGCACAGCAACTGCGCGGCCCAGCCGAACATCAGGTAGAGGGCGAAGAGGCCAACGGCTCCTGCGAGACAGTGCAAGAAGGCAAAAAGGTAAAAATAGCACAAAGCACTGGCGAAAAATGTCTCTTAAACCGCATCACAGAGACTTTTTTTCTTCACTACCCAGTGCAACTTTTTGCGAATTGTCTTGCAGCAAATTGGTAATTATATCCATCTTTGGGTCACTCGAGGTTTCGCGAGCAATAATTTCTTAACACAACAGATTAAAGTGGATGTTGAAGAGATCAGGAGAGAGAGAGATTTTCAAGTTGAAGGTTCCAACGAAGCACAAGCTTTTGCACACATTTTCCCACTGAGAGACGCACAACTCAATTCTTGGCAGAGTTCGCAAGAAACTGGGATTTCTCTGCAACTGAGTGGGATAAGTTGCAAAAACACCGCCTATTGTTCTCCTAAGGTTGACGATCGCAAGGGAACTGAGGAGTTTTCGGGAAACCGACTCACAATTACCTTCCACGTCACTCAAGTCGACTGCCACTGATAAGGAAAGATAGGGATCGTGCAACGTCTCAATGTGTGTGTGTGAGTCATTTACTTGAGCAATTTGCTTATATAGAAACAATTTACACACTTTTATCGACATTACATTATTCGCCAATTAAGCATGGCAATTGTTGGGAATTTCCCAGCTTCCAAGTCAACAGATTATATAAAAATAAGCTTTGGAGATGAGCATTGAGAAACACCTCAAGCTGATCTTTTAATTAAAGGCGAAAAAAGCTCAGGTGTTTTTATCAACGCACTCGTGGCCAGACAGGTCATTTCCCAGGACAAAAATAGCAATACGAACAAAGATCTAATTTCCCGCTGACAAATTATAATTCAGGGACAGAGAAATGAAATATAATAGCATCTAATTCATTATAATTTTGAACCATTTTGCGTGTTTTCGACTCAAGATTATACATTCCAAATTCGAATGCTAAAGTGGGAAAAATATAATGAACGTTTTATCGTCAATTTCATATTCAATACAATCTGTAAGAAGTAAAATTATCATATTATCTTAATTTGCACAGATGTTTTGCTCTTAGTGCAAAAAGAAACACATAGATTTTGAGCAATTTACTTTTTTCAGAGATGATTCAAGAATACATCAGAAAGCTTAGGAAGTTTAGAAAGTAATGTGCTTGCTTAGAAGAATTTAGCGATAGTTTTACCGTAACAAACAGTTTTATTCTACTTCTGTCAAATGGTTTTATTAGAATTTCCCTCAATTTCTACTCTAATTTTTTTTTTTCATTCTGTAAGAACATCACAAAGCAAGTCACAAAGTTTCAGTCAAGTGCTAAATAGATCATAATTGATTACACACGTTCGCATTTGATAAGCGCCAAAATTTATTGCAGAAAATTCCAGATATTCTGACTCATGCACAAATTGCAGAAATTACCAAATTTATAAGTAAATTTCATTTGCCTCAATCAATTTTATCAATTTCCGTTATCTTTTCCTATACTTTATGATCCTTTTAAAAATGACTGTTCTCTAATCCGAAGTGAAGAAAAGCGAATAAGAAAACTATCCTGACTATTGCATTGCATGTCCGGTCACTCGAGCTATTATCAGCGACTTTCCCTGCATTTTGTCGGCTTTTCGTGGCTCACGGTGCTAGATAAGATTCCGCGAGCCGGTTCGCTGCCACGACGAGAGTCTCCGTGGACGGGCAACGTCTCCAAACAATGATAAACGAGCCCGCGAAGAAAGGCGCCCCAAAGATTCCATCAATGCGATCAGCGTTAAAAATAGGAGGAATTAATCTAATAATATCCCTCCTGTGTCGCCAAGCACGCATTTTTGCCCACAATCTGGGCGCCCCGAGGGAAATTGAAGGCTAATCTCGGACATAATTTGCAGAATCACTCGCCGCATGACGAATTTGTTGTGCAATTCTTCTTGTCCGGAGACTAACCTTGAAGTCAGAACGTCACGCTCAGCGGCAGGTGAGCGTGTATTGAGGTGCGAAAGAGGCTTCGCAGTCGCCATGAAGGGCTTCAGGGCGTTCCGAGGACGACGGCAAGACGCCGAAGGACTCCTTTGTCCGTTTCTCTTCCACCCTTGAGACCCACAAACACATCCAAGCACCCAAGCGCAAACAAATGTGCTCACCATAGAAAATGTAGAGACGTGGTACTCCGCTTTTTTGCTCTGCCATCGCCAAAAGTGGGGTCCATGGCTTGCTCTCATCGTTGAGGGCCTTCTGGACGCACTCTTTCGCTTCTGCCACCTTTGCCGACATTTTCCACTGGGAATTTCTATGGGAAACTGAATAATTTTCGCCCGAAGCTAAACCCGAAGCTCACACAGAAAAACGTTGCGCTATGGATGACAAATCGTCGAACTCAACGAAGGTCTCTTCCATGAGGTGCCGCGACATCTGGTGGAGCGCCGACAGTGTCGTGCGAGCTGCGTTGTTGCTGGAGTTTACGCTCATATTCTGGCTCTCGTTCGTGCGTTTAGTCGTGTTTTCCGGCCACAAAAGACACAAGAAGCGACACTTTGTGTGCCGCCACGTTGTTTCACGCCTTGGACATTGAGTGAGTGTGCTGGCAAGTGTGGGAAAAGCCCAGTGAAGAGTTTGGAATGACGTCTGCGAGGGTGGAAAGGCGCGACTGAATTGAAGCAGCCGGAGACATTTGCTTTTTGTTTGCAAGCGATCGCTTCTCACGGTTTTTCCGCCGTGAAAACCCCCTTTCGAAGACAGGCGAAGTGAGAGGAGAATCATGTCCAATATTGTGTTGGATAAGGACTCCTTCTTCCGCAGGATTAGGAGGATTTACAGCGCTTGGAAGGTGAGAGAGTGTAATTTTTCCATCGGCCGAAGAGAGCGGGAGAGTGAAGAAATAGCAAGAGTGAGAGAGAGCATGAGAAGTGATGGCTTTTCACGCATAACCTCACTTCTCTATCTAATGTGAATTTCTCATTTTTACGCAATTTCCCTCCTTTTTCGGCTTCCAGGACGGCTCTATCAAGCACGATGATGCCCTCACGAAGGTGGACTGCATCATGTCAGCGGTGGGCGTGGATGAGGACACGGTGTATTTGAAATCAACGGCACTTCAGGTTGGCGGGAGCCGGCAAAGCGGCATGGGGCGCTCTGGGATGATGATTTTACAGTGATTCTTCTTGTTCCAGACGTGGCTGCTGGGGTATGAGCTGACAGACACGGTCAGTGTTTTCACGCAGGAGACGATTTACTTTCTGGCCAGCAAGAAGAAGATCGACTTCCTGAAGCAGATTGAGAACACGAAGGAGGAAGGTGTGCCCCCAGTGAAATTGCTCATTAGAGATCGGGTGAGTTGTCTTGCTTGTCCTCAACATAGACGTGTGTATTAATATGTGTTTTATTGATTCCAGACCGATCAGGATAAGGCAAACTTTGCTAAGCTCGTCGAGGCGATCCGGAAGTCGAAGAATGGGAAGACTTTGGGTGTTTTCCTGAAAGATGTGTGCGGCGGTGACTTCTGTGAGGCCTGGAGGGCCGCCCTGAAGAATGAGAATTTCGACGAGGTGGACATTGGAGCGGCGATGGGGTATTTGATGTGTCCCAAAGAGGATTCAGAGGTGTCAATCATCAGAAAAGCCTGCGTCGCCTCTGTGGATCTCTTCAACAAGTACCTCAAGGATCAGATTATGGAAATTATTGACTCGGACAAGAAAGTGAAGCACACAAAGCTCGCCGAGGGTGTGGAAACTGCGCTCACGGACAAGAAGTACGTAACAAATGTGGATACATCGCAGCTCGACGTCTGCTATCCACCCATTATACAGTCCGGAGGGAATTACAGTCTCAAGTACAGCGCCCTGAGTGACAAGAACTACCTGCATTTTGGCGCAATTGTGTGCTCTTTGGGCGCCAGATACAAATCTTACTGTTCGAACATCACGCGTACGCTGCTCGTGAATCCATCGGATGCCGTTCAGACCAACTACAACTTCTTGGTGGACTTGGAGGAGGAGGTACTGAAGAAAATGACTCCGGGCGAGAAGCTGTGCGACATCTATGAAGCCGGACTGTCATTTGCGCAGAAGACAAAGCCAAGCCTTGTGGAGAACCTCGTGAAGACGTTCGGCTTTGCGATGGGCATTGAATTTCGTGAGAGTTCCATCATGATTGGACCCAAGTGTTCGGCTATTCTGAAGAAGGGAATGGTTTTCAATGTGAACATTGGCCTGGCCAATTTGGCGAACAAAGAGGCGACGGACAAGGAGGGAAAGACGTATGCTCTCTTCATAGGTGACACGGTGTTGGTGAATGAGGAGCAGCCAGTGACAATGCTGACGAATAGCAAGAAGAAGATCAAGAACATTGGCATATTCCTGAAGGATGACGAAGAGGACGATGATGATGAGGAGGAAAAGAGCTCAGAGAAGGCGCCTGAGATTCTGGGCCGTGGAAAAAGATCGACAGTATTAGAGAATAAGTTGAGATCTGAGCACAGTGCAGAGGAGAAGCGGAAGCAGCACCAGAAGGAGCTCGCTCAGGCGCTGAATGAGAAGGCGAAGGAGCGTCTGGCCAAGCAGGGTGGCGCCAAGGAGACGGAGAAGGTGCGCAAGTCAACGATATCGTACAAGAGACCAGAGCAAATGCCAAGGGAGTCCGAAGTGAAGGAGCTGAAGCTGTTTGTGGACAAGAACTACGAGACTGTCATCATGCCGATCTTCGGGATTCCCGTGCCCTTTCACATCTCCACAATCAAGAACATTTCGCAGAGTGTTGAGGGTGATTACACATACTTGCGTATCAACTTTTTCCACCCTGGCGCCACGATGGGGCGCAATGAGGGCAATCTGTACTTCCAGCCGGATGCCACGTTCCTCAAGGAAGTGACATATCGCAGCACGAACACAAAGGAGCCGGGCGAAATCTCAGCGCCGTCGTCGAATCTCAACACAGCCTTCCGGCTGATCAAGGAAGTGCAGAAGCGTTTCAAGACACGCGAGGCGGAGGAGCGCGAGAAAGAGGATCTTGTGAAGCAGGACACACTGATTTTGTCACAGAACAAGGGCAATCCCAAGCTCAAGGACCTCTATATTCGTCCCAACATCGTCACGAAGAGAATGACAGGCGCTCTGGAGGCACACACAAATGGTTTCCGATACACTTCTGTGCGCGGAGACAAAGTGGATATTCTCTATAATAACATCAAGAGCGCCTTCTTCCAGCCGTGCGACGGTGAGATGATCATCCTACTGCACTTCCACCTCAAGCACGCCATCATGTTTGGCAAGAAGAAGCACATTGATGTGCAGTTCTACACGGAAGTGGGTGAAATTACGACGGATCTGGGAAAGCATCAGCACATGCATGATCGCGACGATTTGGCGGCAGAACAGGCGGAGCGTGAGTTGCGTCACAAGCTGAAGACGGCCTTCAAGAGCTTCTGCGAGAAGGTCGAGGCCATGACGAAGCAGAGTGTGGAGTTTGACACGCCATTCCGGGAACTGGGCTTCCCAGGAGCGCCATTCCGCAGCACAGTGCTTCTGCAGCCGACGTCCGGGAGTCTGGTGAATCTAACTGAGTGGCCACCATTTGTTATTCCGCTGGAGGATGTGGAGTTGGTTCACTTTGAGCGTGTGCAGTTTCATCTGCGCAACTTTGACATGATCTTCGTGTTCAAAGATTATGCGAAGAAGGTGGCGATGGTCAATGCTATTCCCATGAATATGCTGGATCACGTGAAGGAGTGGCTAAAGTGAGTTTTGTTGAGCTTTTTGTTGCTTTGCAGAGAAAGAAATTGACTGTCCTTCGTTTCTAGCTCATGCGATATTCGGTATTCTGAGGGAATTCAGTCGCTGAACTGGGCTAAAATCATGAAGACCATTGTTGATGATCCCGAGGGATTCTTCGAGAATGGCGGCTGGACTTTCCTCGATCCGGAATCCGATGGTGAAGAGGAGAATGGCGATGATAGTGATGAATCCGAGGAGGATGAAGTGTACGAGCCCTCAAATGCTGAATCTGAAGAGGAATCCGATGATGATTCTGACTACTCTGAAGCTTCTGAGGACGGAAGTGATGAGAGTGAAGAAGGTTATTAAGTTTTTTTTCCATCCATAACCACTTGAGCTAATATAGCAATTTGTCTATTTCTGTCAGAATTGGGATCTGATGAAGAGTCGGGCAAAGACTGGTCTGATCTTGAGCGTGAGGCCGCAGAAGAGGACAAGAACAATGCGTACAGAGATGAGGAAAGAGGTGTAAAGCAGCCGGCGAAGCGCGATCGCGGACGTGATTTTGATAAACACAAGTCAAGCAGCAAGCACAGGTGAGTGGAAAGCAGAGACAATCAATTGATAAGACGTAAGATGTTTTCAAGAGGTCTCTTTGGATGCGTTCTAATTTGTCCCAATCTTCTCTATGAAATAAATAGACGAGAACTGCATTCGAAGAATAAAAAGAAGAGCAATAGGCCGGATTATAGGTTTGTAGTTTTGTTGCAAATCTAATAAGTTCCTCTTTGTTTATACACACACACACACACATGTTTTTCCCTCAATTTTTGTACAAAATAACAACAATCACGCTGAAGGTTTGTCTAAATAGTCTTGTGTGAGAGAAAATTTATTTCTTAGAGCAAAATGACAGCTGAGAAAATCTCCTGTTTAGACAAACTGAATGTTCTTCTCCAGAGCAAAACACTTGGAATCTGTGCACGATTTTCCCATTGGATTTTCTTAGTTCTTTTTACTATTAATTGTGGCTCTGAGAATTGACTGATTTTGTGGCACTCTTGCAGTCACTCCTCATCTAAGAGCAAGAGCGGAAGTGGAAGCAGTGACAAACACCACCGAGATCGCCATCATGAGAGCAAGAAGCGGTCTAGGGATGATAGTCGCGATAGTGGGCATCACAGGAGTTCCAAAAAGTCCAGGTAATGCAATGGAATGGGGGGAAATTTGGTAAGTTTGATTCACATTTGTCTCTTTTGTCACCTATTGCAGGAAGTGAAGAGATTTGCAGCGAGGCAGAATTTATGGAGAGATGAAGAAGAGAGAGAGAAAGAGAAATTAGGAGGAGTATTTTAAGATAGGATTATAATGAATTCCATTCAGTTGATTTTATGTCTCACGACCTATTCTTTCGTAAATCTGTGGGAATGAGAGATTGCGGGAAAGTGGACTCGCCAGATTTTGTTTTCTCCTGTTTTTCATTGAAGGAGAAGTTGATGTTAGGAAAAGTGGATGGCAAGTGTGAGCGAACACGATTTTCAGTTGAATTAAGATTACGAGAAGAGGAATAATAAAACTTTGTATAATTTTGATCAAAAGCCATGTTTTAGTGCATGTGGGAAAACAGCGTGTTTTTGGGTTGAATGAATGGAAAAACACCCTGAACTTTGGGCGATCCTTGCTTGGTCGATTGGGTCGCTAAGGGTGGAATTTGTGTGTTGATTGGATTGTGACTCGTGTTGTGTGAGATTCAATGGCTTTGTCTATTTTTATTTCGACATTTTCCACATTGCGATAGAGTTGAAATAGAGGCGAAAAAGCGATTTGAAACAGTATGATTGAGCAGCACGAAGATTCGGACGAGGAGGACGACTTTGAGGGATACTGTGAGTGATTTCCCGCAGCACGGGATTTTGCATTGACTGGGAAAATGTGTGTGTCTTGCAGTTCTGCAGCCAGTGAATGGATACAACATTGCTGAGAAGGTGAAGTCCGCGAATCAGGAATGGTTGTCACTGCCCAGGCCGCCGTCGCCTCTCAGTTCAGCCGTAAGGGTGTCTTTTAGGCCCGTGTTGGAGGACTACGAGCCGGACTACTTCTCGCAGGACGACGAAGAGGTCGAAGTGGAGTGCGAAGAGGAGGAGATCGAGAGCATTATCCCTGAGCACGCGAGCTCGGAGGATGAGGAGCGTGAATCGCCTGTGGCGCCGGAGATTGAGGAGATCTGCGATGATTTGGGCGATATTGAGCTCGAATCAGCCGAAGAGATTCCAGTGGAAGTGCCGCAGGAGGTGCAGGATGAGCCTGTAGTGACGGAGATGCCGCAGAGCAGACTCCCGAGGCAGATCAGCGAAGCGCCCAGTGAACCCTGCACCGGTGTGGCCACAGTGATTGTGCGGAAGATCCACGAGGCGCCGAAGAAGCGACAGAAAGTGTCGCCGCGTCGAGTGTCGCCGACCAGGAGGAAATACCGGGAGTGCTGCGACCGCAGAGATCCGTCGGAAGAGCGTCTGCCGCGCTACAATGGCCTCAGATCCGTGTACGGGCTCAGTCGCGAACAGCTGGAGAGGCGGCAGCAGCGCTTGGAGAGGCAGAAGAAGCGCCAGGTGGACGCCATTAACAGCCTGCTGGAGGCTCAGTTCCGCCGCCACGAGGCCAACGAAGAGGCCTTCTCGCAGTGGCTGAGGAAGAAGATGCACCAGACGCAAGCCAGCACAAAGCACCGCAATCTGTTCGACTACAAACCGCCCGCGCGCCGGAAGAAGAAGCCCAGCTGAGCACTAAATTTGCACGCATAGTGTTAAGATTCTTATATTTGTATCACGGAAACTGTCTAGAATTGAACTGTTACACTCGGATTATCAAGTCTTGCAGGAAAGTATGAGAACATGAGAAAGTATCTTGGAATAAATCTATTCGTACTGAAAATGTGTTGCTTTGCTGGTATTCTGTTTATTGGAACCATAATCAAGTAATCTTTTCTCTAACCTTTCTCGTGTCATATAATAATGATTGAGAGACACGTTTTTATTGATATAAAAATATTTATTACCTGTATACATACAATCATTTATTTTCACTAAGAAGGACAGTATCAAACGTTTTACTCCAAAATTCTTACAATAATAATCATTTTCCTTTGAGAAAAATCAGCGACTATGCAAATAAATATCGCTACAGCGAGAGGTTCTTTTTGTGGGGGGAAAGAAAAGGAAATCGAAAGCAAAAGATTCAGTTAAACTTGGTTTATCCATCTTTCAAGTGTTAAAACTCTGTGTATATAAGCGGAAGTTTTAGGAATACATAATGTCGAGGGGTGGAAAAGTTCGGTGGAATTTCGCACACTTTAGCACACACGATTTTAGTACGGACTTCCCCGCGCTACCTCCGGGACACACATCTATACGCGACACGGAATATTCACCACTCAAGCGAAGGCAGCCGGCCGGGGTGCGTCATCAGGAGGAGGAGGAGGACTTCTTCGACGCCGTGGCGGACTTGTCCGGGCAGTCGGCTATCAGGTGCTCCTCGCTCTTGCAGTGGTGGCACTTCTTTGGCTGTGGCCCCAACTGGCACTTGGCCGCGATGTGGTTCGCGAATTCGCCGCAGTTGTAGCAGCGCATCTTCCGGTAGCGGCGCCGCGCCGCGGGCCGGAACGTGCTACCGTGGCAGTCCTCCAGCGAGGGACCCGTCACGCGTGTCGCCTCGAGGCCCTTGTCGCTCATTTTGCACTCAAATTCCACCTCTTCGGCGTCGCCGAGCGACCGAAAGCCCGCCATTTGAATAACGCTCTGCAACGGAAGAGAGTTGAAATGCATGTTTCATGCGTGTTTCACCTTTAATCATCCCTCCTCTTTGAGCACCAAGTCAATAAAATCGCTCCCATGGCGAATTGATGACAAATAAATCACGTTTTTTACGCTGTTTATTGCCAATATCGACTGCCACTCCGAGAGCGGTGAAAAAAACACCCTTCGAATTGAGACCCTCTCGGTAAAAAGGTAACAACGTCAACAGGTTATAAAAATTCTTCACGCAACTTCCACGTGAATGTCTTTCTCTACAAAATGCTGCGCAGCAAGACTTTCGCTTGGGCAGGGAAAACAAAGGAGAATGATTTTCATACAATAGATATTTGCATGTGAAAGATGCTGAGGGGACTTTCTTGTTTTCTCCTTTCTAATCGCCTTATTGCAAAAAGGAAAGGAAACATTATTAGGCGTCTCCAATATATTTCAGGACAAACTAGTTTCGAAGAATTTCCTAGTTAAGCAAAATTAGTTTCATTCTTGCGAATATCCAAAGGTTTATACAGGATATTGAGATCAAAAAAACAAGAAAAAAACTCTATTTCTCGTTACTACTTCATTATAACACAGAATCCGACTTGTTCCGATATTTCTAAGAAGTAATTCTCTGGAACTAGCTTAATTCCTAATGCGTTTTTCATTTGTTAATTCACATAATCATTTATTACTAGAATTTGCACGAAATTTGTCTATTTGAAGCGAAACCACGTGGAATAGATTATTTCTTTTCCGGGACACCCAAAAACTTACTTGATGGACGAAGATGTCCGGTCCTCCATCGTGTGGCGTTATGAATCCCCATCCTTTGGTAACGTTAAACCATTTGCACTTTCCTCTCCGTGGTTTCTGCGCAGAAAGACTTTCGGGCTGAGCGTCTGACGAGAGGTAAAAGAGAGAAAAAAGCCTTTGAAATCACTGCATTTTCACAATTTTCATCAACTTTGCACGCAGGAATAGAACTATTGAGTATTTCTCACTGTTATCGTTAATATCTCGCTCCATTGCATCACTGCTTAACTGGACCATTTTCAATGTATTAATTTTGGTGGATTTAGCTCTGCGAAAGTGGATCACATGGAGACCCGTAGAGAAATCCTCCGATTGTGAACATTTCGAAGGACGAGAAGGAACTAAACCAGTCCTCTGAAAACTGGGTCTCCTGCACGCCCGAATCAATTGAAATCCCTTTCTGGGATACTTTTACGCACATGAAATCCGTTAACCCTTCACTGCAGCCACACTGGCGCGACACGTTCGCGGCCAAGGCAAATATCGTCCCGAACGGGAATTCTGTGGCTTTTCAGTGTAGCTCGTCCGCAAGAAAGCCGAGGGCACGGCGAGGTACACAGGAGAGGGCAAAAAGTGGAATTTCTTCTCGAGGGTTGCTCATGGATCGACGATATATTCTTCGGGAGGGTACAAAAAAGAGTACCTGTGATTTTTTGCGACCCTCCGCATGAGGTTTGGAATGGATCCGAGGAAGAGGAGATGGACAAAAGCATGTGCAGAAAACATCTTTTCAATTGCAAGATAAACATCAAACTGAAAATGTGTGTACTTGATTTCAGAGTTGCGGACGAGATTGCGGGGTCAAGTTAGTGAGAGGAGAACTAAAAAGACCGGAAGGTTTTTGAGACTATCTCAAGAGATTTCTCGGAGAAAAAATTGCATTGATGGTTTAAAAGTTTGATATATGCTTTCTTGTTTAAATGATGAATAAGACTTCCATGCTCAATAAAAGGGCGGCGAGTCAATAAACCACATAAAATAGGTTTTAATACTTCTGCGCCGAAATAAAACTGATTAAAAAATAAAAAGAGTTTCGATTAAGAAGATGAAAATCTAATATTGAGTAAATTTTGATCTCAATTGCGTAGTAAATCGTATGCGGTGATTCTGAAAGTCCCTTTAACTCACATATTCTCACCATTAATTTAATCACTTTTGACTACACATATCAATACAGCAAGTAAACCCACACTTTAAAAAGTTTAAACTCCACTATTATAAATTCCAATGCGATATGAATCAAGTTCATTCTCACAAGTCAATATACGTCTGCAGAGGCTCAGTTCATTCCTCTTGAGAGAAGAATTTTTCTCTCTATTTTGAATTAAAAATCTAATGCGTAAAAAGACTCGATCTCGTCGTGCCGAGTAAAGTTGATTTGACGTTCTTTTTTGTTGATCAGCGTATATGGGAAATTCCCCAAAATTCTCATCATCATCAGTGCATTTGCCATGGAAATTGCGGGAAAAGAATCGGATGCCGCAAAAGGATGCGATTTCTTCGGGGAAAATCGATACTTTTGAGAGCGGCCATTCTCAGTTGGCGTTGGGGTGGAAACCCAGGGGAAATCCACCCTCTGGTGCGTAACGCGAGGGTGTTCTGTGATTTTGTGGGTGGTCTCTCACCTTCGCTCCTTCGTGTGTCTTTCGCTGGCTCCGGGTGGACTTCCTCGTCGCTGCGAGCCTCCTTTGTGGCCTCCGGCCCGTGTCCGGCCATTGTGATCCTTGTGCCAACAGGACTGCGCGATCTTCACTGTCACACTAGCACTCCATTGCACTTTGATTGTTGCGTTTTCTGTGAACGAACTCTCGCGCGCGCTTGTTGTTTATTGACGAAATTCCTGGGCCTCTGCCGTTGGAATCTTCACATGCTCGCGTGTGTGGGGAAAAGCGCGTCGCGCACAGAAAAAATAACACATTTATGAATGAATTTAGTGGCTGTCCCCGCTTCTCCTTGCCCAAACAGACGCGCTCCTCCACGGCTATCGTGCGTGTCCGCAGGAATGAGCCAACAGCCTCTGGGACGGAAAAGCGGCCACAGAGCGTCCACGACTGTGTGTGCGTGGCCCTTATCGGGGGCCTCTCTTTCTGGCCCACGAACCCTCGGCCGCAGTGCGTAAATATAGGCGAAATGCGTGATTTTTCGGGAGAGAGACGCATTTCGGCCGTGAGACTGTGTGTGCGGAAAGATGCGTACATTCCTGAGAGCGAGACGGAGGCATGTTTGGTGCGAAGGCGGGTCTTTTCCAATTCCACGCACACATATTTCCGTGGAAACTATTCTCAGGGCATTTCCTAGTCGCTCTGCAGATGGACGCGATGTCGAGCAAGTCAGAGAGTGATAGATTTCGTATTTGATTATCGCCTTCAAAAATAAATTCTGTATCTTCGAGAAGCGATTCAGAAGCTCAATAAATATAATAAAACATTTTAATATAACCAAGGAGAAAATTGTAAATGCTAGAAACAACTCGTAATATTGTGCTAAGAAAGGTTGTTAGTTTAGAAGGTTTAGGACTATCAAGAGAATATTTTGAGCTATAATCTGACCTTACACGAAACATTCACTATTCAAAGAAGAAATTTCAGATTATCTTACACGAATCTAAATCTAGAGTTAAATCAATCCAAAATTAAGCCATTTTTCTAATCATGTTTAATTTTCTTGTTTTTATAATAATTTTTTATATCTTCAAAATGTTCAGTGGAAAATCGCAAAGCATAGGTTGTATGATCGGAATTGCTATTGGACCTTCAACTTTGCAGCACTAGCATAGCTAGACGATCTCCTAGTGTTTGAAATGTTCCATTTCGAAGTTCTTTGAATTGTTACTTGAATTCCTGATAAAATAACGCTACCTATGAACACGCAAAGCCAGCAGTTTGGCCTTTGATAGCTTTTCCTGCGACCATTCAAGTGTTGAGCACATCGAAGACTTTCTGTTCTCTTTCTCTCGGAATTGCTGTTTATCTGAGAAAAGGGCCAGAGAGCTGCCCTTCGCAGTGAGCTGCAAATGCATGTCAATCCATTGTGCTTGTATTGGCGTCACCGAAAAGAATTCCCAGAAATATTTGGAACTCCGCCGTAGAGGATGAAGGAGTGCATTGTCGAATTCTGTGATAACGCTCAAATGTCTTGTTTACCTTCGACATTTCAAACACATCAGCGTCTTTCTTCGATGGCCCAAATTACAGCCTTGGGCGGGGATTGTAGAGAGATAGACTTTCTTTTTTTGTGTGCAGTGTTTTGGCACGAGGACGCAGGGTGAAATTGAAGGGAGGAAATGTGCGCCCCTCGGACCAATTTGCTTTCGAAAAAAATAAGCGATAAATTGGCATTTGCAGAGATTATCGCGTTCTGTTGCAGACAGACCAAAATATTGACCGATAATGTCCAGCTGCTGGTCCTTCGCTTTTTGCTCTCCTTTTTGTGATGCGAGACCGAGAAGGGCACTTTTGAGTGATTGGATTTGGTAATATTGGAAATTTCTGAAATTTCAGACCTTCGATGAAATACAAGAAGATGACAAAGATATGTAATTTCTTATTTCAGGTATATTTCTGGATTTATTTTACAAAACTTTAAGGCAAATGAAATATCTTTCATTGGTTTATTTTCTTTAGAATAGTTACACAAAGTTTATTAACATTGACAAAAGTTCTTCTTTCATTTTCTTTTCTAAAATCCTGTTTTGCTTTCAGATTACCAGACTCTTTATGCTTTTAGAAGAAAAAAAATACTTTGAATCGCCTGAACCTCATAATTTTTCTAAAACTCCCATAGAACGAGCTTGGTGATTGGGAAGCCTGAAATCTTGGTAATGTTTCCAAAATCCTTCTCAGCCTGAAGTGCAAATTGCACTCATGATTTTCTCTGTGCACGGTCTGCACTCTCCTTCGGACAGATCGTCATGCTGATGCCGGAGGAGACACAGTTGGAGGGTGGAAATTGTATCAATTGATCCCGCATCACACCCTTCGCACAGTGAAGGTCTTTCACCATGGAAAAAATGGCACAAAGCATGTTTTATTGTTAATTCATCTGACGAAACATGCAAATGATGTTTGATTGCCAATGGACAGTGATTGACGGCAGCATTGTGTGTGTCCAATCAGCCGACAACTGATGCATTGTGACACGGGAGGATTCGGACAAACAAAGACGCTGCGACGGAAACGAGGATGCTCAGGTACTGTGCGAAATGTGTGGACTTTCTCCTGGAAACTCTACCAGTTCTTTGCGAGCGTCATATTGGCGAAAACAGGGGCACAATTTTGTAGATTATTAACACGTTGTTTGGCACTTTCTTGTCCTTCTTCAGGTTTTCCTGCAGGGATGACAGTGGAGGAATTGCACAAAAGCGATCCTTCCTTCGAGAAGTCCTCACCGCAAAATATGACGAATCATGACATTTTCAATGATGAGCCCTCAAAATTGTCACTAATTTCAGTGTCATCAATCTCGTGATGACTCTCTCAAGCCCAGAATTGAATTGTACATAAAATCCCCGATTCAGCCAATTGAAAGGCAGCATTCGGAGGGCGATAAAAAAGCAAATGAGCCTCTTTTTAAGGGGTGCAAAATGCATTTTTTACATATTTTATGTATTCAACGCGCACTCGTCCATTGGCGTCGTTCTTTGCTCCCTCAGGCCACGACTTTACATGACTTCCCCTCGACAGCCAATCCGCGGCAGCAAAGGAGGGTTGCTCAATGAGTCTGTGCAGAGTTTAAACACGCGACAAAGGGCAGGGAACATTTCCATCGAGGGCAATTTTGCACCCTTGAATGCCAGAGTGAAAAGGGGAGAAATTTATGGGTGAAAAAGCAGCATTTTGAGTATTTTCGATAAATAAATTGCTCTGTTGGGAGGGTGTCTTCGGCGCAGCGTTAATGGTTTGGTTATACTCTCTTCTCCGGGTTTTAGGAAAGCGAGAAAGGGTCACGAAATCCAGAGAATGCATTCATAATTGAAATTATTAACGTATGCAATATTTCATTATGTCGATTACTATGACAGAAATAAGGGAACAATAAGAAAAGAAAAAAAGATAATTTGTTCTTTTTCTCTCTGGGAGTTTTTTTGTGGATAATAAATGTAAGGAAAATCAAGTGAAGATAAAGTGGTTCATGAAAATCACGCATGTCAATATTTCATCCATCGTTTTTTTCACAAATTAAATAGGATTTCCATGTTAAAAAGCATTTCAATGGTGATCTGCGGTTTCTTATTACCGTATGGAATGAAGGCCTCACAGTAATCATCAGGAATTGTCGAATATTGAATCACAATCTTGGCCATCAATACTTCAAATTGGCGTGTCGACAAAACATTGTGATCTCATGAAATTCTCGGACTAATCAATAATTCGAAACTTGAGTTAGTGTCAATATGCGCTGAAGATGTTATCTGAATAATTGCACTGGTTCAATAAATTCATTTACATGCATTAGCATTGAAAAATACTTTTTTATTCTTCCATCCTATGTACAAGAAATCATTTAGAGTACATGATGCTACTTTACACATTAACATATATTTTCTCCTATGCTGTGTGAAGAAATTAATGTAATTAATATTAAAAAAAAAACGGTGGACTACATAAAAAGAAATCTCGGTGAAAGTTTCACTTCCATTGAGAAAGTTAAAGGACATGAAAAACAGGAAGTATTCTAAAGAAGAAAATATCTCTAAACAATCACAAAATGTGAAATATTCCATCTTTCTGCACCACTAAATCGATCCATTTGTCCAGGAATGCCGCACTTCATCCCAAGCCCACATCGAGGCACATCATGACCAGGAAGCCAAAGATGGTGCCCCACGTCGCCAGAAGACCGTTTCCGCTGAAAGCACAAAGCAAAGAGTGAGCAAATGAGTGACGAAATGTGTCTCTGTCATCTCACCTCGCGTGCGCCTCGGGTAGAATATCGTCCGCCACGATGTAGATCATCGCGCCAGCGGCGAAGGACAGCGCATAGGGCAGCACAGCCGACGCGATGGTCACAGCCACCGCACCCAAGATCCCGAAGATCGGCTCCACCATGCCCGACAGCTGTCCATACCAGAAACTCTTCCACATGCTAAATCCCGTGGCGTGCAGCGGCAGACTCACCGCCAGGCCCTCGGGGAAGTTCTGGATGCCAATGCCAATGGCGAGATTGCGTGCCGCCTCGAATGTGGCGGCTTCTGTGGTCCCGATCGCCCCGAAGCTCACGCCCACGGCCAGGCCCTCGGGGATGTTGTGCACCGTGATGGCCACCACGAGCAGCATGATGCGCTTCCACTGGGAAATGGCACTCTGCGGATCGCGTTCGCTTCCGGTCGCCGAGTACGTCGCGTGAGGCTCCTTCTCCACGCTCGCTTTCCGCCGCCGACGCGACGACGAGCTGTGCTGCACGCTGATGCAGTCCGAGAAGCTGTCCATCCCAATGGCCGTCGAGTGCTCATTAATGTTCTTCACTGAGAGCCAACAGAAAAAAAATGTTATTTAAATCTTAAAGAATTTCTTATTAAACGCGAAAAAAGCCAATTGACAGCATTTTGGCAGTCAAAAGCTGGATTTTTTTTATCATTTACTGGGACCTTGTTTGTGTGTTTTTCATAGTTTAATTACATTAGCTTTAGTGACTTATTTGCAAAGCTTTTTATACTTATTTGAACAGGGCCAAAAGTACTATGTTTCTGTAAGTTTTCCACCCGTGATTACCGTATTTTTGTGTTTTACAATCCAGTTATAGAGTTTGAGTCACAAATGCAAGAAATACTCCAGTTCACAACATAGAATTTTCTATCTCGATTAAAATTAATTATACTTCTTATTTTACAACAGAAAACACGTGGGTTAAATGTACTGATTAAGTTTTTAAGATTATTAAGTCTCATAAAATTATTAATATGAACAGAGGTATTGCTTATTCCTTCAGATTTGAGTATTCATTCATCCACACTTTGCTTGCAGCAGTTTCACTAGTCAAAGAATTTGCTTGAGTATGCAAAACATTCCAGTTTAGCTTTCAGATTGGGTGAAACACACATAGACAAAATATTTACGTTATCGTGTGCAATTTTGGCTCTTTCCGCTGCCCATCGGACCGAATCGAAGTGCATGCAAATGAAATGTTAGTGGAAATGCAAGGAAAATAATCACCATATTGTCCTCTGGCGAAATCTTGATTGTTCTGTGTGTCGTCGAGAGCAATTTCAGCTTTGTCTTTGCTCGAGTGTGTTAATGCTGAAAGACAAATAGCGACAGCATTAAACATCAATTAGAGTGATAAGACATGAAATCAAATGCATGTCACTGTCAGTGGGGAAAAGGCACACATAGCGCAAACGCTACTCGCTCACCTATCATCATTGACGTGCTATTGATGCCCAAGTATGATATGATTTTATCGGTGCCGTAGACGAAGATAGAGCCGAGGAAGAAACCCGCGGCCACGGGAATGAAGGCGAACTGTCCGTTGTCACCGTACGTGCCGGACGCCTCGGCCAGCTCAATGGCCGGCGCCAGGAGGGACCAGAAGGAAGCGGCGATCATGACGCCGGCAGCGAAGCCCAGGCTCACATCTAGAGACTTTCTCTGCAATTGGATAATATTTGCCACCGATTACGCCAGTATTTGAACAAGTTGTGACTTTATCAAAATCGCGCATGGGAGAAAAATCACACATGATTTACTACAATCAGACACGCCATCGTCTTACTGCTTAACATTCACATCTTATTTGTTCTATTTCACTATTAAGTGATCCTTTTTCTCTCTCCCTCTCTCACCATCTGTGGTTATCTCACAGACCTTCACAGTCACTTTGCGGATGATTTTCATCACTGCGACGTAGACTCTATGTCTATCGGGTTGTTTTTTCTCCCCCCATTTCAACCTCCCAAGAGTAAATCAATGTGGCATTACTAATAATCATTGAAAAAGCCCCTCTCCCAAAATGGGAAGCCACAGCGAATCCGTGAGGATGACAGAGAAAAAGTTTGATGGCCAGAGTGACTTTCACGGTGACTCTTGACGCAATTGACACACCTGACTGCCTCGCAGGAAGATCACCATCCCCGCGCCGGCTGCCGTAAGTCCCCATGTGAGCAGCGTGCCCAGGAGAGCCTGAGTCACTGGCCCGTAGCCTTGAATCATGGCCGGCGTCTGCGAATGCCTTCCGCTTCACTTGAGCACGCGGAGATTCCCTGAAAGAACACACACAAAATCAAACGCCAATTAATTAACCATTCTCAATGCACGCTCATCAATTTCAAGTGCTCTTGACGCCAATTCAATCAGGGGGTCAAAAGCGCTTCGCGTTACATCACTGACTTCAGCTTATCTCTAATTCTCCCTCCATGTGCTTTCCTTTTTTTCTTGCCAAACAACGCATAAAGTTGAATTTGCCTAGAAAATTCCACAAGAAACTCTTTTATGAGCTTCGTGAGTAACTTGTATGGCTTCTGGAGGGTAAAGCTCTGAAAAAGCTCTGCATAAACATAAGATAAGGAGAAGTAGGTAAAGATTTTCTGCACGCAGACATCAAATAAAGTGCCAAAAAAGTCAAAAAGTCAAATACGAGACACTCTTTTACTAATTCTAAATATAATTACACGAATCGTCAGGAGTTTCTGCACCAATAATAATATTCAATATTCAATTGTCGCGATTTCCCCCCGAAATAATTCAAACCCATCGGAGTGAAAACCCCTTGCAAAAGCCACCGCGCAGCACAAGAGCAAAAAAAGCCCCGAAGACACTTCTTGCTTCCGCCTACGAAAGCCACTGAACACCAATTGATGCTCCTGCCTTTTTGTACGCTCAATAAATGCTGAACATCTCCGCACAGACAGCCTCAAAAGCCATTAATGTGAATCTCATTCATCACGGCAAGACAATAAATTCGAGCGAACTTATCACGAATATGATTGTTGATTCTCAACGCGAGAAAGATTAGGTTTTCGCCTTTTTTTGCTCCAACAAAAATATAGAGCAAATAATTCTACGTGACATTTTCTTGTCTCTTCTCTCTCAACTTTTACAGTTGAATTAATTCTTTCGGTTATTGTTCAATTTACACTTCTTTTGTCAGACTCATTTTGTGCTTTTGGGCTGAAATGTCTTGCCAAGGAAGAGTTCACAGCTCTTGCAACTGTGTTGCAGGAAAAAAGACACCAAAAAAGCACAATCTCAATTTCTTGTCTCCTTGAGACTTGAGTTCTTTACCTCGCAATCACCTCAGTAGTTTTATGACTCTTCTTACCATAAAATACGCATAACAGAGCATTTACTCTTCAATTATTCATGCTTTGTTATTTTGCCACTGATTTTTCCCCCGAGAAATCTAACGCAAACAAGCCTTTGACGAACTGAGGTTAATGTTTTATTCTTTTTAAATAGTGAACATGACTAAAATGAATAACCAACATTAAGTTTATTGCACTTTTAACAATTCCTGTTAATTTCAAAATATCGTGTCATGATTTTTAAGCTTTTTGTTGCATTTTTATTACTGATCTTTAATTGGTTTTTTGACTAAAGAAATGGACAAAACATTGCACATAAAAGTGAAATATTATTGTTTTTCTGACAGATAAAAAGAGTTTTCTGCTACTTGTTCGATCAGAATTTCTCTTTACATTTCCAGCGATATTTTTCTCATATCTAAAAAATGCAATTCTAGAGAAGTTCTTGGGATTATTAAACCCTGAAAACATACAATTAAAGCCTGATATTTGGCGATTAAATAAAACTAGCTAAACATGCTCCTAATCAAGTCATCGACTTCCATAGGTTCAAGCCAAAGTTCAAGCTATCTTCAAGACAAAATATGTTTGGCTCTCGCGAGAATCTCACACTTGTGAGCCACGAATGCTTAACTCTCGGTGTGTTTGAGCCTCAGGTGAGTCGCGATGAGATATTGAAGTATTATAAAATCCCGGAAAAGTGTCTGAAATGCTGCGCTGAAGTTGTTTTTCGGCCTGAATAGCTAGGAATTTCGCCCAAAACGAGAATTCAGAGAATATGCGGCTGAGTCACACTGAGAATTTGGCACTTGAGGAGAGGAGCAGAGAGAAGAAGCCAACGTGTTCTCTCCCGTCGAGAGTCTGTGACATCCGCAGGCTTTATCACTGCGTCATCCGCCTCTTTAGCATTCACTCTTGCCCACTCGCACTGGATCTCTTCCGCGTTTTCTCTTCCTTCTTCGGCTGCAGCGCGACTGATTTTCCCGTCTCCAAATCATCGTGGCACGAGAAATTCAAGGATTCTCGAGATTTTTGCGAGAAAGTTGAGAGTTTTACGATGGTTTTATGGCGAGTGTTCTCGTCATGTTTCACAGTCACTTGGCAATCGTGGCAAGCACAATCTATCAAGGGATTAATCTCTGACCACTGATAATTGCTCGGACACATGAATTGAAATGGTAATCAATCGACAATTGCATCATTGCGATGCTTCTTTGTACCTCCAAGCGCAGTGAATGCCTCTGTTTGTCGCCTTCAGCACTGCTTTTCACTCACTTCCTCACTGATCACCTACTCAGCGACACGCGCGATTGATGGCTGGTGGACTCTATTGTACATTTTGCTTGGTATTACACGGTGAAAAGACCAATATCAATTAATCTGTTCGATGATAAATGAGCAACACAAGCATCGGAGTCGCCCATCGAACGTGACACTGACACACCGACGCGCTGTCACGAGTCAGTCTCGTGCCCTCGGCCAGCGCTCGGGCGGGTTTATGGCACTTTTATGGCAGCTTGTCCGGGAGTCGCGCAGGACGGAGAGGAGAATGTAAGTGCGGATCGTTCGGTATCTCTTCCTGATAAGATTGCCCAATTGAGGTAATTAAGTGGCTTTTCGGCAGGTTCAGAGCTTTCGCGAGTTACTCAGTCAGAAGGATGAGCCAGACAACCCCCCAGAGATTAACCGGGAAGGTGGCAGTCGTTACAGCGTCCTCGGACGGGTAAGTAGCGCTTGTTTTCCAGGAGATTTCCACCATGACTTGCGCTTCATCTTCCAGTATCGGCTTTGCCATTGCCGAGAGATTGGCCCAAGAGGGGGCAAAGGTTGTCGTCAGCAGCAGAAAACTCCCGAATGTCGAGCGGGCAGTGGCTCAGCTAAAGGCGAAGAATCTCGCGGTGCACGGCGTGAAGTGCCATGTCGGGAGCGCAGACGACCGGAAGGCACTCTTTGCTGAGGCGGAGAAGCACTTTGGAGGCATCGACATTCTTGTGTCCAATGCAGCTGCCAACCCGGAGATGTCCACGCTTTTCGAATGTTCAGAAGCCGCTTGGGAGAAAATCTTCGAGATCAACGTCAAATGCTCCTTCCTCCTGACCAAGGAAGTCGTGCCGTATATGAGGAAGCGCGGCGGCGGAAGCATTGTCTACGTGTCGTCAATTGCCGGCTATTCTCCAATGCAACTCCTCTCAGCATACTCAGTTTCCAAGACAGCGCTCTTCGGCCTCACCAAGGTAGCAGCCATCGATGGCGCCTTAGAGAACATCCGAGTGAATTGCGTGGCTCCTGGCGTGATAGAGACCAAATTCGCACAGCCGGTAAGGTTTCCCAGAAGAGAGTTCATGTCAAGACTCTAATGAGAGAAATCCTCTTTCAGTTGATTAGTGATGCAAATTCGAAGGAAGTTGCGGAGAATCAGACTCTCCTCAAGAGAATTGGACAACCGCACGAGATTGCCGGAGTTGTGGCTTTCCTGGTTTCCGATGATTCCAGTTACATCACTGGAGAGAACATCGCAGCGGCCGGAGGAATGCACAGTCGCCTCTAAGGCCTCAATTTTCTGGGATAGGGATAAAAGATTAGATTAGATTTTCTTTGGTTCATTTCTCTCTGTTTCTATAGGAGAAGAACTAAGTTGAGGCTAACAATTTACGAAAGAAGTCTTGTTATTGGGTACAAAGTTGGTTATTCGGTTAAAAAATAGATCATTTATTACAATTCCCTTCTATATGTACAAATAATCTCACTTCCTGGGGTATTCATTGGTAAATGTTGTCTCCTGGAGGCAGCGACATCCGCAGCCGGCCGCGCAGACGTCATATTTGGAGAACCACTCCATCATGTGCAGCGTGTGTCCGCCGTGGCCGCATTGGAGGCACGCATTCGCCGCCCCGCGCACTGGCAGCCGGCACAGAGCGCAGTGCAGAAGTGGCCGATGGCAGTTGCTGCAGAAGGGAATCACCGAGGGTGAGTTACGGTTGCAAAGGAGACACTCCGTGACGAAGTCCACACCACGAGGTGATTCTGGCGGCGCGCTGAGATACTTGAGCACCTTGGCGCGCTGCACCAGCAAATCCCAGCGATAGAGCATCTCCGCGTAGGCGCTCTTCAGGACGTCGTGGAAGTGCCGCTGCGTGTCGCCAAGGAGACTCTTGTTCACGTAGTTTCCCGCTGCCTTGCAGTCATCCAGGGAGTCCGACCATGAGTTGCTGCGCAGGTTCTTCAGCTGTGTGACCAGATGCCACTCCTGGTGACCCACGTGACTGCTCGTCGTGTCCAGAGGCAGAATGGTGTGATATGGCGAGCCGCTGGGCTGCTCTCAGTGAAGATCAGATAGAGAATTAGCTTGAGCAACATCATTTAATTGAGCAGTTTTTGGCAAAATTCGTGCATTCAATTTAATATCAGATTTGATAACTTCACAGAATATCATACATCACAGATAGAGATTGCACGATTTTTCCCACAAACTGACCACCCTTTGATGCAGCATGATTGAATGAAATGAAAGAATGTAAGTGAGTGATAAATGATATGAGGAGGAACAATGGCTGGACAATGAGAGTATGGAAGGGTAAAATGATGGTTATTACCTTAATTTTGCGATGACCAAGCAAGTGCTAAATAGGAACCAAAAAGCACCCAAAATAAAGTTAGATTTCGTGTGTAAAGTGACATCCCAATTGGAAAACACAACTAGAAGAGAACTAAGGGATCAAAAATATGTGAAAAAACCTTTTCACCCCCCAAAAAAATTCTTTCATGCTACCCGAGAAACCAACAAAGATACTGAAATTGATCGTGAAAGAGTGATAAACAGGTAGATAAAGAGATCCTACACTTTGTGAGATGGATTTGCTGCTTGAACTCGAGCTTCTGGACATCTCGGATGGCGGGCAGTGCCTCCCGAACGTGCAGCAGAGCATCGCGGCCGTCTGGATGTCACGACTCTTCGCAAAGTGGAGAATCCTATTCAACAAAATGCTAAATACACTCTAAACAACCCTTTAACTATACCATTGACACTCACAGGGACTCTAAAAGGTTGCGCGAGAAGGGATTTTGCGAGTAAAACATGTCTTCGTCCGTTTCTACGTCCATCACGGGAGTGGAAATCATTTCGGCCAGCGACCAGCATTGCACCAAATCACTCCTTCCGTGCTCCTCAGCGATCATTCTGTTCGTCTTGCACATTTCCGCCACATTGTCCGTGTTGATCACGTATCTTTCTGCCAATTCACGACTCACGTGAAGGTGTTTGGACAGATCATAGATCATCACGTCACTTGAGAACATTTTCTGTTGCGCTCCAAGACGGTGTCGTGAGGTTTTCTAATAATCGAGGTGATCAAGAATAAAGAATTATTGATACTCCTATTATTGATATTCTTTCAACAACGCTTAACATTCGCGATCAATTGGTTTACTCTGGAAGCTTTTCAACTGTGTCGCGTGAACATCTGAACATTCCGTTGAACCTGAGATTTGTAAGGGAAGGAAAGGGCTTGTACTCACCCTCACGCGATCCTGAAGGTAGAAAGCCGAAGAGTTGCCATCGCGCGGCGCGTAGAGGACGGGCAGTGAGCCCATCACATTGCCCAGGTATCCTCCGCTAAGAGCCGACAAGGCCCTGGGCGTCGTCGTTTGGTGCCTCAGACTGATCCTCTTCGTGTTCAACGGCTGCACGAAAGTCACGAGGATGCCCACGCTGGAGAAGCGCGCCCCTGAAGTCTTTGGGAATGGCACACAGGCGTCATGAAGCGCCCCACTGAGCGCGCCCTCCAGTCTTGGTGACTGAAGGCGCAGGTAACTCTTGTCTCCGCCGCTCGTGGTCTTCTTGAGCACCGTCACGAGCGCTCTCAGGCACTGTTCCAGGCAAGTCTTTCCCTTCTTCACGCGCTGGTTCGCTGTCTGCCGCAGGACGCGCATCAGCTGGGCCGAGAGGGTGTCGTCCACGGACGTGCCGGACAGATAAGTGAACTGCGGAGGCACATTCGGGTAGTTTGTGGGGAAGAACACCTGTAGGACGATGATGTGACCGTTGGCGGAGATCTGAGCTGTAGCGCCGCGCTTGATGGGATCCAGATCTTCCACTTCGATGTGAGGGATGTTTGTGTTGAGCAGGGAGAACTCGTGCTGCAGCGAACACGACGGCGGAGAGTCATTTTCGCGCTTGGCGGGCTTCTTCTTCGCTGCCGGCACACAATCATCCAGGATGATGTCGTCTATCTTGTCAGAAGCACTGTCCTCACGATTGATCAGCTTCTGGATGTCCTCGTCGATGCGCCAGAGGCGCAGTGTGCGATCGCGCGACCACGTGATGAGCTCCATGTCCATGTTGGGGCGCCACGCAAAGTCCAGCACCACGTCCGTGTGGCCCAGGAAGGTGCACACGGGCGTGCGCTGATTGGAGTTGCTCCACAGCTGCAGATTGCTCAGTTCGTCGTGTCCAGAGTGCGGCACCACGACGGTGAGCAGCCCGTCTCCGCTGGGCGTGTATCTCGCTCGCCACACTGGCGACGACACCTTGATCATCTTCTCCAGCGACCGCACGTTGTTGATGTCGAAGTACTTCACGGTGCCGTCCTGGCTTGCCGTGGTGAGCTGACTCTCGTGGCGGTGACTCCAGTTGATGCCGTGGATGCGCGCCGAATGCGCGGTAATGTACTGAATGGGGGAGGAACCCTTGCGCCGGTCCCAGATCCTCAAGTCTCCGTCGTGCGCCGTGGCCACCAAGTATCCGGACACACGATTGAGGCCCACTTGCGTGGCCCCAGACATGCACACCGTGCTGAAGGACATCATGGGCTTCCGCGGATCGCGCAAATCCCACAAGTGCGTGAAGGTGTCTGTGGAGCAGCTGGCCAGCAGGTGGGGCTCTCGCGAGTGCCAGTCAATGTCCGTCACCACGCGCGTGTGCGCGCGCAGGGAGTGGATCAGCACCGGGTCTCGGTACTCCCAGGTCACCACCTCGATCAGCTGGCTCGTGGCGATGGCGCAGAGCTCTTGGCTGTGGCTGCAGATGGCGAACTTCGCCGTCGACACCTCGTATTTGGAATTGCGCTGGAACTTCTGCAACACCTCATCCTCCTCCTCGGGCCGTTGCAGGCTCTGCAGCGCCAAGTGGCGACGTCCCGCCAGGAGCACCCACTGGCCGGTGAAGTCCACCGACATCGCAGTGGCGTCCATGTCGCTGTGCTTGGCGCACCAGCTACTCTTGCGCTTCTGCATCGGCGGATCCGCATCAGAATGATCAGATATCGAGATCATCCTGGGAAAGACACTTTCTTCTTAGAAACACGACAAAAACAACTAATTGCGCGTTTGTTTACACTTCAGAAACAGCTGATAAGAGTACTGCAGTGGGCCAAATTTCAAGGCGCACTCCTCGTTTTGCCTACTTTTCGGCAAACAGGAAAAAATGCACCAACCGTATGTTGTTAAAATTTTGCAAACAACATAATAAAAAAAATTTAGACCATAAAACACACAATTTCCTCTCATAAAATCTTTATTTGACGTTTTTGTCCTAATATTGTATATATTAAAAGTTCAAATCACACTTAGATATAATTATTCTATAGAAAAAATACTCTAAAAATATATATTTCCTATAAAATATATTTATATATTGTAATAATATTCATCAAACCACACTACTAAAGAGCGTCTCATCAAGACTGTTCTCTTAACTTAAGAGAGAACCCTATTTTACATCCTGAGCCACTCAAAAGCGATAGTCACAGTGAAACTCTGTGCGTCGATAAATAAATGCACTCTTCCTCGTTTAAATTAAAATCAATAGAAGCACAAAATGAAAGGGATTTTTCGCGGGTAAGGAATATTTCCTCTCCAATTCTCACACACAAACTGATTTCGTAGGAGTATTAATTATACCTATTCAGTGATAATTAGTCTATTTCAAAAATTGTATACACACAACATACTCTCAATGATGAACTTTCGACACTCACAAGAAGCGCACACGCGAAAACTTGATTATAAAAAATGCTCTCACTCTTGCTCTTCCTAACGATTTTCAATAGAATTTATAATTAGACTTTCAAAGATTTAAGCCCTACCCAATTGTATTCTTACGTAATTAGTATCTCCTCTTAATTGGCTCCAAAACTTTATCAATTTCTGAGGTAATATTGCGCTTGAAAAAATCATCAGTGAATTGCCAACAATTAAAAGAACACTTACAAAAAAAATCAACAATCTTCCAGAGAATTGAATGATATATCAGAAATCAGTAAATATCACAGAATTTCACCTCATTTTGCGAACAATAATGTTATATCAACTTCCGAAGTGTGTTTGGGAAATAATCAAAAGAATTTTGACACGAGTGGGAAACGAAATGCAAGCGCAATTTATGTGATTCACACCAAAATGTGTTAATTGAATTAAATTATCAGGTGAGATGAGTTTCTTGAACTCTTTTGCAGCTCACACTGTTTAGCGTGTGTAATATCACATTTCCGTAATTTGGAACATTCATCTAATGGATTTTTGAGCAATTGACCACGATCTTTGTTATAATTCTTATTTACAATTATTTTCATTAGTTGTGAGATATGATTTCTTCTTCGCCCATTGAATTCCTAACTGGAAACTCAACACTAAAAACTTGGCACTTGACTTTTACGTCGTGTGAAACACTATAAAATACTTTTCTCTGCAGATAATATTGAGCAAGAACGCAGTCGCGAAACTCCTGTAAATTCACATTAAATCATGGCTCTTATTGTCAATGCGCACACGCGTTGTCTTCAATCGTGCCTCTCTGGCCGCTCCTCATCCGAGGCAGTTTCTGGCGGTGGCGTGATGTCAACTGTTGTGGAGTCACTCGGCTGGTTCGGTGCAGTGTTGATGACTTTGGGAAGATTCGTCTCCTTCTGCTGGCTCAGGCTGTTCGCCATGCGATGGTAGTGAGGCTTGAAAGAACTGCCCGGACGCGCGTAATCCAGATGATCGTATTCTTTCTCTGCGAGCACATAAGATAATCAGACAAATTTCCAGGCAAGAAGAAGCTTCTCTTGTACTTACCGAAGTCCTTGTACTCCTCTTTCTGCTTGATCTCATCGTACACGTGATCCTCTTTGCTCGGATCATCGATGCTGTGATAGATGTTGGGATTCGTGAGGTCAGCGTTCAGGTTCTTCTGCGACATGTCCGAGCTATAATTGATGGAATACGCTCCAGCTCGACTGCCATTGCTGATGGTCGAGTCAGTCTCATTGCACCGATTCACACTGGATGGCTTAATGATGTTGTTCAGCAGGCGAATGTTATCCTGCTGCCCCTGGAAGGCATACACAGGATTGTCGAAGTGATGGCGATCCGGGAATGCTTGCGGATCTGATGAATACTGAACAGCGATCTCCGCTCGCATATTAGCTATGCGTCGTCTGTAGTACAGCAGCAAGAGGATGAACATCAACAACACAATGCTGCAGGCTCCAATGATGCCAAAGACAAGACTGGCAGAAGCTGATAAAATAGGGAAAACATAATACAAATCGATCGCTTAGTGGTGTTATTTGCACACTCACTCGTCTCCTCCGCTTTGATAGTCTCTGGTCCATTGATTATCGGAATATCGCAGTTTGTCCCCTTGAAATTCGACCTACAAACGCAACCATGTGCGGCATGGCAGACGAATTGGCTGGACTTGCAGTTGCACAACTCCATGCAGTGCTGCCCGAAGAATCCTTCCGGACACAGCTCATCACAGCGCGGCCCCATGAAGCCCGGATTGCACACGCACACGCCGTCGTTTTTGCGACACTTGCCATTCTTCCCACACTTGCACTGGAAGGCACAGTTGTTGCCGTAGTAGTTGTCCGGACACGGATCCTTGCAGTTGGCACCCGTCCATCCGGGCAGACACTTGCACTGTCCCGTGATGTGGGAGCACTCGGCGCCGTGGAAGCAGTTACACTTGAGACTGCACTGCGCTCCGTATGTGTTCGCCGGGCATGGATGCTCGCACATGAGTCCCATGTATCCCGGACGACACTTGTACTCTCCCGTGATGTGATCGCATGTCGTCTCGTTGCCGTGATTGCTCTTCGGGCACTCCTCCTTGCAGCCCAGTCCATAGAAGCCCTGCGGACACGGATCTCGACACTCAAATCCCGTCCATCCGCGCGAACACACGCACTTTCCAGTCGCCGGATCGCACGATGAATTGTTCATGCAGGTGCAAATGTACTCGCACTGCTCGCCATAAGTTCCCATGGGACATTGCGTCTCACAATGGACACCTGAAAAAACAATAAGCAGAGAACAATTCAATACAAATGAATCACTTTGTGAAGTGGAAGTTAAATACAAACATAACAGACTCTTTATTAATAAGATTACTAATTTTCTGAGTATTTACCAAAGATATTATTTGTTGAAAATTCATATAAATGTGATTAAGCTGTAAATACTTTTGAAATAATTACACAGAAGAGAATTTATGGTACAATTATATGTTGATAGATGAAAATAAAACAGGAAAAAAACAGTTGAATGATTAAAAAAAAAAATTTCATTCTTAATAAAATAGTTGGAAAGGAAGTTAATAATAGTCATTTTTAGAAGAGACTACCTTGAAAACATGATAATTCCGTAAAATACAAAAGCTTTGGGCTTTAAAAAGCATACAATTAATTCTTCTATACTTTTCCGAGGATTGAATTGCAGAAACAGAACATTAAGAGAAGATTGAATAAACTATTCAGCTTCCAAATACCAAGCATCTAAAGTGTATAGAATGATATCTCACCTCCCCAATCCTGCTTGCAGTGGCACTTTCCCGTGGTCGCTTCACAGTGATGCGTGTTGCTGTTCACGCATTCGCACTTCTGCCGACAATCCTGGCCGAAGAAGCCAAAATCACACTTCTTCTCGCAGTTTTCACCCTCCCAACCCGGACTGCAGGTGCACGTGCCGTTCTGCGGATTGCACGCGGCCCCATTGCGGCAGTCGCACCTCTTATTGCACCCCTCGCCATAGTAGTACGTGAGGATGTCATTCTCATCCTTAGGAGCACACGGCCGATCACACGCGTGTCCCTGCCAGCCGGCCACGCACGAGCACTGTCCCGTCTCCGTGTTGCACTTAGCGCCATTCTGGCACTCGCACTTCTGCGAGCAGTTCTCACCGTAGAAGCCCGTCGAGCAGGGTTGTTCGCAGTGCTCTCCTCGGAATCCTGCCGCACAGAAGCACGTGCCGTTGATGTTGGAGCACTGGCCGCTGTTTTGGCAGTCGCAAGACAGCTGACAATTGCGTCCGTAGGTGAGAATGGGACATGGACGGTCGCAAAACTCTCCACTCCAGCCCGGTTTGCAGTCACACTTCCCCGTCCACGGGTGGCAACTAAGCCGAAAAGACCACGAGAGTCAACTTTGAGTGTTAATTGAAGGATTCTTTACTCACATTTCCGTATGTTCAGCGTCGCACTCGCACTTGTTTGTGCAATTCTCGCCATACAAGTCCGCTTCGCAGATCCTTTCGCCACAGTTCACGCCTTTCCAGCCCAGCGTGCAGGAACAGTGACCATCTGAAGGGTCACACTTTGCGCCATTCTCACAGTGACAGTCTTCGGCACAATTGATACCATATCGATGACTAGGACAGGCATCCAGGCACTTCTCCCCCATGAATCCCGGGGCGCACTCACACTCGCCCGAGATGTGATGACAAGATGCTCCATTGAAGCATTCACAGTTCTGCGAACAGTTTGCACCGAAACTTCCCGGCGGACAGCGATTGGCACACACACTGCCGATCCATCCAGGCGGACAATCGCATTTGCCGTTCGCCGGATTGCACTTCCCATCATTCTGACATCGACACTCCTGCTTGCACTGATTGCCATGCATTCCCTCCGGACATTGCTCATCGCATCTGTTGGAGAGAGAAAGAAATATTTTCAACCACACATAATTCCATTAAATATTTGAGGGATTTCGAGGGTGAATCCCATTTAAATTGTGTCAATCTCCAAGCTTATTTTGCCCAGGAAAACCCATAAACCTTATATTTAGAATTGAGGGAGGATTTATTTGCCCTTCTCACACTCATTTTCCACCCTTTCTGGACCTTCTGAGCCACGAATCTCGCTGAAATTGATGGGAAAATCGATACAAAGAATATACTCACAGTGGTCCTGACCATCCTGGCTGACAGACACACTCCCCGGATATGTGATCGCACTCCCCGTCATTCTCACAGCGGCACACCTCTGAGCATCCCTCGCCGTACTTTCCCGACGGACACTTCTCGCTGCACCGCTCGCCGATGAATCCTTTGGCGCACTTGCACTTGCCGCTGTACGGATCGCACGTGGCCTCGTTCTCGCAGTCGCACTTCTTGGTGCACTCGCGGCCCCATGTCATCGGCGGACAGGTGATGTCGCACGATGGGCCGCCGTAGCCGGGCTCGCACTTGCACACGTCCGGCGCCACGCAGATGCCGAACTGGCACGAGTCCGTGCAGATGGGAATACACCGATTTCCGGCCGCATTCTTGCCGTAACCCTCTGCAAAGAGAGACACGGAATGCCATCAGTCACGGCATTATTTTTAGGCTCAACCGCTCAAATTTCCATCTCTGAAGAATTGATAAACTTGAAGTGTTCAGACATTTTTTTGTATGAAAATACTGATTGGAGGAAGAAAGCAGAAAGAATGTGTGCAGCAGAAAGCTGTGTCAATGGAATTTTTGGAAATCAAAAAATTAACGAAGAAAGCCTCTGCCAGATCAGAGTAAAAATTGATCAGGACTGAATTTCTGGCATCTTCAACCAGAAAATGTGTGGTTAATGAACGGCACGTGGCGGAGGCACAAAAGTCTTTGCTTAGACAATCAATTGACCACAAATTGGAGTTTCATAAGCAACATGTTTGCGCAAAAAATCTCTGGAGTCAATTGGTCTCTGGCCAATTTTAATTCACACTCGCGAGAGCTGAAAAGTGCAGTTTTGATGATCGCTTTCAGAAGATTGACAAGCTAATCAGCAAAAGTTAAGGGCTTAAGGTTATCAATACAAACAGTCTGCAAAATTCTCAAATTCAGCAAATTCCAAATGGGAACAAAAACACTCAGTATTAAGATATTCTCTAGTTCTTCTTACCACAACAATCCTTGATGATTCTCTTCTTTGAAATCGGTTGTGTCTTATTGACATCTCGGAATCTTATCTTGTATTTCTGGCATTTCGGCGGCACATTCCAGCACCACTCGCTCACAAGTTCCTGGTACGCCTGCTTCTCAACAGTCACCACCTCAATAATATATCTGCAACGACAGAAAAAAGGCAATTTTAGAACAAAATGTGTATGGCAAGCACGAAGGAAGTTATCATCAACATCTGTTTATGTGCAGAATAAACAGCGTTCAAGCAAAATCAACTGATGATTCATCCTAATTTTCTCACCAACACTCAACTTAATAGCCTTAATATTGAGAGTGATATGTATAAAGATTCTTTATCGTTTTTGGTAGAAGTAAAATAGAGACAAACAAAAACATTTCAATGTGCTGTAGCTAAATTATCTATCAGGAATTTTCCGTGAAATATTCATGTAGGTCACAATTGGTGGTTTACTTATAATCTATTTTTATCTCCCTTCCTTTCGATCCGATTTCCACGAAATCTCCTGCAATCACACTTTCTTCTGCTTCATATCATTTCGACCACTGATAAGGAATCTCAATGTTTTGTTTATTTTCCTTAAGCAATAACATTTCAATGCATAGAAATGGCCTCAAAATATATAATTTATAGCCTTTTAGATACGGAAACTTGACTTTTGTGGGCATCCAAACTCTTGACTTTTCACATTTTTCCCCATGAATCATCAACACATTGGACGGCAGAAAGTGATTAAACATCAATATTTTAAGCATTAAAGTTGGAAAAAGTTCTACTTTCAACAGAAAGTGAAATCAACAAGCACAAACCTATACATTAGTGTCACGAAGAGGAACGAGAGTCGTTAAATATTGACGAAATAATTACTGAAAATGAGCCAGAAATGAGTAGTAATTGTAAATTTCGCTGAAATCATTAGGTTAGATAAGAAATCTCTGGGACATTATTACTTAAAAATTGTAACAAAATGCCTCCTAATTGAATATTCAATCCAGTAAGTAAGATAATTGAACATCACTTTTCCCAGAGAGAGCTTACAAAAGACTCTGATTGTCAACTGAAACTACACAATGAAATATTGTACTGGGAGAAAAATATAGCGCACATAGAGATTACATCACCTTTAAACATAAGGTTTTGCATTACTGAGCGCCGCTCTGTCATAATTAAATTGTTCTACGTCAGCAATATTTGGCATTTTGCTTACATTAGAGTCAATTTTCATCTCCCCTTCTTCACTCCATAATTTCTTACTCACTCAGTTTTTCAATACACACCACAGTGGAAGTCAATACAATAAACAGAATTCACTGCGAATGATCTCATCGGTCACTTAATAAACAAATCTATATAATGGTGAAAGCATGAAGAGGAAAGCAAATGTTTATTCCTCGAGAAAAATCACCTTTTACACATTCTAAATTCAATGTAAAAATACAATTAAAATATTTGCATTTTAATTGTTGGAGTATATTTAATTGATTCCCTTCTTGCAATTGCAGATATAAAATTCAAACTATTGTGTACTTCCGAGGTAAAACATTACTCATTGACATTCTCCCGTGATACAGCAAATATACAGCAAAAGCTCCTCATCATGAGGGGAAAAAACATACATAACAAAAGCGGTAATTTTGCACGGTGGAAAAAAATAATTACCATTCGGATATCACATGATTTTAATCATGAATTATGTAAAGAAAAAAGTCACAACTGACATAAAAACTCTGCAGAGATGATATTCTATCGAGATTTCAAGTTTGGCACGTTCCGTGCTCACTTTCAACGATCGGCAAATTCAATATATGAGCAACATTCTACAAGTATGTCTCAATTCTAAGGCACTTTGCGGTCACAACAGGTGGTTTTGCACACAAACACATGTCTAAGAGAGCAAATAAACTCAAGAGTTATGCACATTATGTTGAGTAACACCAATATTGCACAGACTTCTTGAGATTTTATACCGTGTATCTCATTTCTGCGACAAATAAAACAAATTTTCACTCTTTCGCTTCAAAGCAACACACTTTGATACAAAAAGTTACTTCATGGTTTTGAAAACAATTCAGAATAAACTACAGATTAATGGATTGTAATTTGTGACTTGCAAAGTTGCGTCAATTCAGCTCGTGACAATTTTATGTTTAGTGTAATGTAGATGGTTTATCATCTTTCGGTCACGGGTAATTAATAATAGAAATCAATTTTACAGAAGCACGAAAGGACATAAAAAACTCATACTTGATTAACTGACCTCCACAGAATTTTTTAGTACTTTATGTTGGTGTAAGATAAGAGCTAAGTAATATTTTAGTCGTATCAAAATTTATCGAATAAGAACAGAAATAGATTAGAAAACATTTCGTTTGTGGAATTTTATGCTTTTCTTTCTAAAGTCGAAATGATTAACCAAAATTTCCCCCCCAAAAAAAAACCTAAGAGTCTGTTTAATGAAAAAGAACAAATTTTAAGGGGTTTCCCGAGCCTTGAAATATTTTACTTCTATTAATGCATTCATTAATTCTGACACTTCTTAATGTATGCACAAAAAAAACGCTCTTTCTTTTACGTTCAATTCGGCCTCATAATCTCAAACAACCGGCATAGAAAATTTCCACCAACTCATGACCAACATTGACAAATCACGCAGGAAAATCATGCAAAAATGTAGAATGACAAATTGATTCTTACTCTTCTTCACGCTTGCAGATATTCGGTCCCTCGAGATCAACAGCCAGTACGTGAACACAGACACTAATGACGCCAATTATCACCAATATTGAGGCCAATTTGTCACACAATTGAAACCTTCCTTCGCGGGCCATGTTTTCCACGCACTCAAAACAACTCTCAGCACTTTCAGGATCACCTCAGAAGCACTAAAAGATCATTGCAGCCACGAAACACTGAGCGAATTTTCCTCTTTCTCTCTATGAATCACACACAATAAAAATGCTCTATAACACACTTTAAATGCAGAGACACAGAAAATAAAACTATGTCACTTGACTCGATGGCGAGGTGTTTGATCGTGAAATGAGAATCAGCAGAGTCGCAATTTCTCCTTCTGTCGTGGCTTCGCGCGAAAATCCACAAACTTTAACACACCGAATGTGACTGTTTTAATTCCACTTCTCGCTGAGCTTCCTTGTCCTCTTCACTTTCAGCACTCTGTGCGAACGTGAAGAAATGTGGAATGAATCACATTCACTTGCACACAGTCCAGACTCCTCTAATCAAATCTCCATCCGGCATTCGAGTCAATTGAAAGAAAGTTCTGATTCTGACCACAAGTGCTGCACAGCCACCCACTTATGTTCACTCAGCTGACTCACTGGCGCATCTTCAGCACATCGTGGCTCCAAGTCTGCGGAGAAACAGAAGGCAAAAACACACAAATTAGCACTCCAACTCTGTGGCTTTTCGGACAAAGCGAACACACACCAAATGCGGTAATCACGACTCAAGGAGAAACAACCGGGAAGTTCACAGGGGGACAGAATCAAGACACCCGGAGATTATCGAGGAAATTCTCTTCCATCTGCACCAACAATTGGGTGTTGAATGGAAAAAGAGCGGCTCAATTGAATGCCATTGAGCGACTGCTAGACCACAACTAAAACCCGCATTACGTGTTGACTCGCCGCGTTCACACACTCAATTATCATGAGGGAGGCTCTCCGTATATTTGTATGGCTAGTAAAATGACTCTCTTTATTGCTCGCAAACTCGCGTGGGCGCTCGCGAGCGGAGCAATATAGTGAAAAACAGCTCTGAGCAAATCTACCAATTTCTCTTTACTCAACATTTGCAACCACCGCAAAGTCTGTGCGATGGAATGCTGCGTTCACTGACAGTGAAACTGCACCAAGTGATGTGTAATCTTGTAAAAATGTGCACTTAATACAGCCTCAAGGTGTGATTTGAGCACTCAGCAAAGCAATTACTCTCGATTCTTGTCCATTCATCAGCTATCAATTGTCAGAAGAGCGCTTTTCTCAGAATTTCCATACTTTTCCTCACACGCGCTTTCTATGCATTCCAATAATATTGATTGCCTTATCGTTTAGAGAGACAATTTACATCATTCACGTCACTTTATTCCGTCGTGTATTAAATTGTGGGAAATTATTCAATACCTTTCCTTCCTATTCCCGATAAAGGAAAATCTCTGAAGCGCCCTGGAACTATTTCGGGGGAATCACAAAAATATTTACAAAGTTGACTGAATTCTAACTCACTATCTTCTTACGCTGTGAGCAACATTTTGATAAGACAAGAAGTGTGTGTGCTCTTTTCTTCCTTTCCTCTTGAGCACTTGAACTCGCGTGGGTGTCGTTTTTGTGGGCAGTTGACAGATTTTCCAAGGACTTGAGTTGATTGTTCTCATGCTAGAATATTTATTTATTGATACAGCCAAGCAAATAAAGAGGAATTTACCATCTGTGATTGGTTTACGGTAAATAAATTTCAATTAACTATTCCCTCGGTCCATATTTGGTGGACAGAGCGAGTTTTTTTTGCTTCATTTTCTGTCTAGAACACAATTCTGCAGACAATATAATTCAATTCGTTTCTTTTTTCCTCTGGATTTGCCAAAGCAAGATGAAATTGCATGAAAGCCATTCAATTGATCCTAATATTCGCTATTAAAAGAAATGTGATTCGCATCATTTGCTGAGAATTATTGTCCCGTTAGTTATGTTAAATCTTCACTCTATTGATTTTGCACCTTTTTCAATCGAAGAGAAATTTGTAGAAAGCGAATTATATTGATTTCACACCCATTTGTGATATAATAATTGGTTAAACTCACTATTAGATTGTGTGAAGAGTAATTAAATAAATGTGTTAAACTCTCATGATCGTTCAATTCTAGTATTTCTCTTTAATATCACCAAAGTAAGCCTGGTTTGTGAAAAAGTGTTTAATTAAAGTCTTAAGTAGTCTTCAATGGTTATGTAGTTTTGTTAGGACGTTAAGTGTTGGGATCAAGGTTACGTCAAGGTCGTCAGAAAATCAGTTCCAGTTGTGACACAATTTTGGGCCATTTTCTCAACTTCTGAAAGTGTTCATTTCGAGCTATTAACAGGGTTTTCCGTCTCAAAACTAAGTGACTGGCCAAATCAATTGTTCTAAGCATTTCAGCGTTGTCAGGTGAATAAATTACAACTGCTGACTTTCGAGTCATTCCAGAACCACCCTCAATTTGTAACCGTGCAATTCATCTCCACGCGAACCTGTCATTAATTTGGACAGAAATTGGGCCCTGAAATCATCCTCGGGTTTTAGTGCTTGATTATTAGATTTGATGTCAAGTGATGCGCTATGATACAAATAGATGAAGCTGATTAATTGCACATTCCGGAAGCGGGTAATTGAGCAAAACTCGCGGTGTTTCATGCGATAAAATGTCTTTTTCATTGCCCTCACGCACTGGCCGCAAGTGGCAGTTTGTCGCCCAGACCCAGGATTACTAATGGGCAAGTTATTCAATAAAATCTTCACTCTCTCTACGAATGGGCGTCGTGAGCGCGCACAACACAAAGGCACGCAGTGAAGGAGGCAAAGTGCATTCTCGGTGCAAATGACACGGAGACACACAATTATGTGACTCATTATCTCACCATTGTTGCACATAAAAGACATCAAATGGATTGTCAAGAGGAATAAACAGCGGAAAACTGGCAAATGATGAATGCTAATCGTCATTCTAATTTCTCCTATTGAATTCTATTCTCGCAAATCTCACCTTCTGCTGCTCCCGGCAGTTGGATTTCTCCACAGGTCACTCGATGTACAATTGTTGTAAAAGAAATCAGTGCAAATAAGCGTGTTGGCACAGATGAAGCAGTAAAAAAACTAAAAAATTCACAGCACTTCGAGATGAACTCAAAACTTGCAAAATACAGTGGCTGACATGACGATCGGGCGTTGCACTCGGCGCGTGTTCGGCTGAAGCCTATTCGCATTCGGCCTTTCGACGAGTTGCTGACATCATCGTTCGACGGGTTGACGAATCAAAACACAAATAGACGGTTTTCCGTGATTTCGCGATGTTCACTCTCTGGAACTTAATTGAAGCTTCCCTGCTGTGTCTCAACGCCGTGTGCATCCTGCACGAAGAGAGATTCTTGGCGAAAAGTGAGTAAATACTGAGGAAGTTGGAAGAAACAGAAAACTAACCTTGCTTTGTGGTTCCTTTCAGTCGGATGGGGCGCTAATGCGAACGTTCAGGGCTTCGGCGAACCTCCCACGGTGAAGACACAAGTTCTGAACCTCATCCGATCCATCCGGACGGTTGTCAAGTGTGAGTATGCGAGAGAACATCTCAAATTAACGATTGACTAATTTCTGGCACCTCCTTTGCAGATCCCCTCATATTTCTCAATATAATAGCAATTGTATTCAAATTACTGCTTGGATGATTAAATGGGAATGCAAAGAATGTATTTAATATGCTAAATTTCTAAATAAATCATCTTTTGGCTATTTCTTCTGTGTCAAACTCTTAAATTTCGCTTCCAATTGTTGCGTATAAGCGTCCAGTTTGTAGGCTGCCACTTCCAATTTCGAGACTGTAGCGTCAATCTCATCGATTTGTTGCAAATAAGGCGTCTGGGAATAGAAACCAGTAATTAATTAATGTCAGAGATAATCAATATGCCCGGAAATCCTCACCAGTTCCTCGAGCTTCACATTCATTTCTGTTGTTGAAGCTGCCAAGTTCTCCGTGATTTGCTGCATGTCTGAATACTTGGAGATGGTGGCACGGTTCATGTTTTCCAGCAGTCTATAGTCCTCGAGGGGCCCTGTCAGCTCGCTCGAGATAAAGTCTCCGGTCTTCTGGAACATCTTTGTCGCCAGACGGGAGAGATTTGGATCGTGTGGGTCCAGAGCCTCAAAGCTGGATGTTGATGTAGACAGCGTGGGTCCCTTCTTCGGGGAATCCGTCACTCCGGCGCCTTCCTCCATGGCTGGCCAGGAAACCCAGGAAATCACGAGAGAAACTCCTTGTTTTTGTTTATCACCAATTCGCCTAAAAAGACCTATTGAGATGTCAGTTGTGCGGCAAACTTCAGACCGTTGGCAAGTAAACAAGAAACGTGGTTTCTGGGTGTTTTGATTCTGGTTTTACTAGAGAGATTGCACGGGAAATCAGCGGGAAATCATGGTGTTCAATCATTCTGTGAAAGTTCCGACGCAGTACAAAGTGGCCAGTAAGATTCTTCAGAAATATGAGGAAGAGGGAGCGTCAATGAGGAGTATGATTTATGAACAGAAACACGCGGTAAGTTGTCCGGAAAAGATGAAAGAATGCTTGAAAATAATAGTTACCCTATATCTTCAGCGCATAAATCGACTCTGTGGGCTGATTACAAAGATCTTGCAGCAAAAGCCCACACTGGACGCAGTGATTCAACGTAGTGAAATTATGGAAAAGGAGCAGCGCTTGAATCCCTTCCTCTGCAAGATTCTTGTGGCGGAATTGCTAATCGGTTGCGGAAAGCTGAATGGCAATTCTAAGCCCGTGCAGACTGTGCTGTCGTATGAGAAGAAGCTGCGCAAATTGTACAAGAAAGAGACCGAAGGCAAGGAAGAGATAGTCAGCGCCCCCGCGGAAGAATTGCAGCTTCCACGCTACATCCGGATAAACACACTGAAGGTGAAGGCACGAGAGATCCTCGAGATCTTGAGCATGGAGGAGGGCTGGAGACAGCTGCCGGCTGCTGCTTCGTACACCGAATACCTGGAAACTGTTCAGAACTTGCAGAACAGAGAATTCATTGAGGATTTCCATGTGGTGAACCTCTTCGCGTTTCCTCCCAATTCGCGAAGATATTGGGCCACGCATCGCCTTGTAGAGGACGCCAGTGTTGTGCTGCAGAACAAATCATCTTGCTTGGCGCCTCTGCTCCTGGCGCCCTCGAGAAAGTCTCGAGTGTTCGATATGTGCGCAGCTCCTGGCCTGAAGACCATCCAAATGGCTGAGATGATGAAGAACAAGGGCGTGATTTATGCCGCTGAGAATCACGACAGGCGATACAGCACTCTTCAGCAGTTCGCCTCGAATTCCGGTAGCACAATAGTCCAGCCACTCTTCATGGACAGTCTCGCTGTTTTCGACAACGACGTGCCTGGAACCGAGTACATCTTACTGGATCCTTCTTGTTCCGGCAGTGGCGTTCTGCAGCAGATCCAGACGCGTGAGCGCACGGAATACGATAAAGACCGAATCGAGAGACTGTCGAGACTGCAGCTGAAGCTTCTCTGCCACGCCATGAAGAACTTCCCGGCGGTGAAGAGGATTGTCTACTCCACGTGCTCAATGAATATCCAGGAGAATGAAATGGTGAGTTGGCAAAAAACATCGTGCAAAATTCATAGCAAAGTGCTATTTTCATCCTTCCCTTGCGGTGGAGGCGAAAAAACCTCCAAAGCTCTCGATTATTGATTCTTATTGTTATTGGAGTCTCTAAGGACGTGTTTGTCGTGTGGCAAATAATGCCATCTCACATGAACTCCTTGTCAAAAATTCATAATCCCCAGAGACGGGCGGAAAAGCGGCTGAAAGTCACTCAGTGAACTCTATATGGACTTTTGCAGGTCGTTCAGCAGGCGCTCAAGCAGTTCAAGAACTTCAGAATAAAGTGTCCTCTGGAGCAGCTGAGGGGCGAGTGGAGGAACTTTGGGTCGCCGGAGGTGAAAAGAATTGGCAAGAATTGCATCTATGCTGTGCCAGAAATTGATGGCACGACGGGATTCTTCATTGCGGTGCTAGAGCGGAAGGAGGCGCGCTAGATATAGATACACAGAGAGAGAGAGAGAGAGAGAGAGGTGACTTGTCTACCCATTGTCTTAAATATTTAATAGTGTCTGTTGCTGCAGCAACGTCAATTCTTTACAATTATTCAGTTTTCATACACGAACATCTTTCAAAGAGTTTTGTGCATTTTTTCTGTCTAACAAGTTAACGCTATTACAATTGGTAAGGATTTATCCTTACACTCTACCTGACCATTCCTTCTGCTTATTCCTTCGTCATGTTATCAGTTTATCAATTGGGAAGTATTTATGTTAAGAGAGATAGGAGAAAAAGTGTGCAGAAGAAGGATATTTGCAGTGGAATTTTGTAACGAGAGCCACTAGAAATATGTGTTCTGCGCTTGAAACCGACTTCTAAGAAAGCTTGTGAATACATTTTACTATAATGTTACTGGATAAAATCAATTCAATTGCTCAATTTCAGTGGGCACTTTGCGAAATTCCACCGCTAAGGGATTGCTAGTGCCGGAAGGATGAGCGCGGCCTAAAGAAGTGTACTCTCGCACCCTCAGGACGCCTTGGCTGAGGGTTCGGAGATTTTCTGTGCTATCTTGCCGGCACTCTTCTCCGCCTTTGGTACACTGGGCACATCCTGACTCGGCGGCCGATGCGTGGGGCTGTGGAAGGGCGTGTTGTTGGTGCTCTTTGGCTTCCTGAACCAGCTGCCCAAACGACGATTCGCAGAAGACGTCGTCTCTTCGGGAGAAACCACGTCCGCCTTGAGCTTCTTCACCTGACTGGCAGTCTCGTCGGCCTTCTTCGCTCGCAATTCCTCGTCGTCCGTGAGATTGTCATCTTCCGCTGTGCCGGCAAACTCCGAGACGAACAGACTCGTGCCGCAGTACTGGCGCTCCACGGACAGGGTGTTGAGGAAACGGATCTTGTGACCAGCGCTGCGGAAGCAGAAGTCGTGCCACTTGTTGCGCGTGTCACAGTAGATGCGCAGGGCATTCTTCAGTGTCACGCCGAACATCTTGCCGTCCGGCAGGTTGAGGATGCTGCAGTTGTCCAGGAAGATGCGTCCCTTGTAGATGAACTGGGTGCGCTTCATGAAGTCCTTGCGGCAGTAGATAATCTGCCGGTCGAACAGGAAGAGCGTGAAGGTGTTGTTCCACAGATTGGGCGACAATCTGATCGCATCGATCTGCAGGAAGAGTCGCGTGCTATGGAAGTGGATTGGAGGTCCCGTGAAGTTGTCGAACTGAGCCTGAATCCGGGACATGTGCTCGCTGTTGCGCTTCTCTGGATGAATAAAGTAAATGAGTTCATTTAGAGATGACTTTATAACTGATTCTGCTGGTGTTTCTCACCTTCATTCACCATCTCTGCGACCTTTTTCATCGTTGCCAGTGCCAATTCGAAGGACTCCTTGCAGTCTGTCATCTCATCCTTCTTCACGTCGCGCTGAAAGTTGGGATTCGAGGGGAAGTACTTGACCAGCTCGCTCAGGTGGAGTGGGTATCGGCAAATCCTCTGAATAGGCGCCAAAAGGTGGGCCGTGAGTGGCAATTCTGGGAGTTTTTCGCTCTTTCTGCATCTGTAAAGACAAGACCACTGATTAGTAACGCATTCAGTGGGGAGCGAAAGTGGCATTTTGCACCTCTCCAGAATGTCACAAGCCACCCTGTTGGCCGCGTACTTCTCCAGCTCCATGAAGCCACGCGGATGTGCGTTGCAATAGGTGGAGTAGACAGAGAAAGCCGCTTGATGGCTTAAGAACACTTTGGCAATAGAATGATTGCGAATTCCTGTTTTCAGTGCATCGAGGAATGCCTCTTGAAAGTGAAGAATATCCTCAATGTTCGAGAAGATACTGTTGATGCTTTCCATAGGAAATATTTCAGTGTGGAGCCGCAGTTTGTGCAGAAATCTGCAAGCAGTTACCAAAGCATGATGTAACAACAAAACTCTTTTCTCATATAGCATTCTTGTGTGCCTCACCCATAGCAGAGAGATGAGAGAAGGTTCACGTAGACCGTCTCGGCGTCCAGCAGTTCGCGAATGGCATTCTCGCGGAAGTTCACCTGGTGCTCAGTTGATGATGGCTTCTCAGCGCCACCATTGCGTCTGGCCAGGGATTCTTCAGGCGCATTCACGGCCAGACTCTCGGCTTTCTTGCTGCGCACCGCCACACTGGGAATCACCTTGACGAAATCCCGCGGGAACCAGCCGTCGCGGGTCGCAGGAGAGCCCATCGCGGGCGCAGTGTCGGGGATCATGAGCTTGCCCCACCACCAGGGACAGTCGTCGTAGACAAACACCTCGATCAAGTCTCCCTTCCGCAGGGCCAATTCCTGCGTGTCACTCGCTTGGAAGGCAAAGACAGCCTCAGCGTAGATCGGGGCTTTTTCTGCAAAGAATAATATTTTGTGTCTTTTCTCTCACTTTCATTAACGAAAACAATTCAAGGAATGGCAGGAACTTCCACTACAACACCTCTAAACTATTCATGAAAAGCCTGCCAATCTCAATGCTCACCCTCTTCCTCTTGCAAGGACGTGAGGCTGTCGGGAAATGACTGAGAGAGGTTCTCGCGGAAGATCTCCGGCTCGGAGTCGGTCTTGGTCATCAGGCGACTCTCCTCGCTTCGGCTCATCTCCTTCGACAGCTCACACTCGTCGCATTTGTTGCGCTTCCGGCCGTGCTTGGCGCGTAACTGGTTGAAGCTCTTCTTGAACTTCTGCAGAACTGACTCTGTAAGTCGGGATGAATGAGTGCTATTGAGAAGAGAGCATGACGTCATGAGGGCGACTCACCGTTACTGCTGGCGACGGTTAAAGTCTCGCTCTCAGGTATTTGGTCTTCATTAGTCTTAAAAGTGAAGGTCTCCTCAGTGAACAGTGGACTGGACACGGCTCTCATTTGATTTGTCTGCAAAGAGAGGCACAAACACAATCACGCACGACTCTTTAAGCTCCCGGAAGTGTGGCGTGCCTCGAGATTCAGGTGCCACTCCTGTAATCGCGCAAAGTGATATCAGAATTGATGAGGAGCTCTGTAATTCCGATGTGTCAATTTGCGAGCGTCAGTCGCGCTGTGGCTTCCCTTTTCGCTGAGGGAATCGTGCACCTGGTGCTCATATGGCAACTCAGGGCCGCACTCGGCTTCGCCCCGCGCAAGGAAGTGGCTAAAGTGACTTGTGATCGTGCTCTTAATCATGCCTATTTGAAGGAAAATTTATCACCCAAACGCTCATCTATATCAGCGCACAATTCATAGAGAGACAAGTTAATCGCTTTAATGTATTTTCCAGAAATTCCACTCCCCCCTCCACCAATCGTGTGTCCCCAAACCCTCGCACAAATATATATCATCTCGTTAGGGAAGAACCAGGAGAGGAGATGTCTTTTGAAAATTAATCGGATCGACACGAATATACACTCAGAAGCCAACTGATGGTCTTTTCCAGGAAAATATCACTCTTCATTTGAGCTGTGGAACTTCAAAGGAGCTCGGCGATTATTAAATTATTGTGGGCTTTTTTCATTAATTCCCTCTTGAGGGGAAAATTAAATTTGAATTTAACAGAGAACTCAATACAAAGTCTTTCAAGCCAAGATTGACATGATTTTGCGAAAATATTTCAGTGTCCTTTTCCGCGACAAATTAGCGTGACGTGGCGCGGAAAAGTGAACATAGAATTTCAATTTCACACTGAATATTAGTATTCTCTGCAAGGTATTGTGCAGGGATTTTGTTAAAAAAAAGTCTTGCAATAAAGAACTCGCCCACGGATTTATGATTAAACTCAGAAATAAGACATTTATGAGAATGGAAAGAGGAGGCTTTGTAAAATTTCCATTCTGAGCATATTGCTTTCAATGCTTGAGGTAGCATTTATTACCAATTAAATAACACAAGAAAATGTCAAGGATTCGCTTAGAGAATTCGTATTAAAAGCGGAGCAAAATTTTCTGCTGTGCAAATGAAACTGTTTGCGCAATTCATTGCGAATTTGTACAATAGACTTTTGAAGATAAACTAGAGAAATTGTGACTCATAAAAGTCAAGTTACGGAGTTGTTATGTGATTTTGGCCAAAATGATAAAATCTATAGAGATGAAGAGAGAAAATAATGAGGGAATGTTAAATGATTTGTGACTTTGGAAGGTAGGTAATCGTATTTGTTTTCCAATTACGCAGAATTGTGTTTAAATCGAATAAGATCGAATTTTCTCACAAAATTGAATATTGCGAGAGTGGCTAATTCTTACGTCGCTTTGAGACCCGAAACTTGATGTCTCATGTAGAATGGAAATCCTTGTAAAATTCTCCGCCCATTTGCATTTGTAATGCACTTTTCATCTTTATGGGAAAGTCTTTAAAAATGAAGCTTGAAATTTACTCTGTTCTCGAAATAATTTCCACATTAATTGTCTTTCTTTCAATTGGTATTATGTCAATAATATCTCTACACTGTTTACTTCAATACAAGGGAAGAGAATATGATTCTTTTGTTATTCCGTATTTTTCCTAACAAGTCGATAGTATTTTCTCCCCCTTAGACAATGCCTCAGTGTTCCTATTATTGCCATATTACCGTGCTGTTCTGTTGAAGAGCACGCCAAAAGGGAGCAAAAACAGCAGATTTTCACGGTCAGACAGAAAGCTCCGAACACACCCGTGTTTTCCACCCCATTGGGCGCAACAAGGAAAAGCCAAATGATGAAAAAATCAACCCTCTGGGTTGGGGTGAAGCGTCTCAATTGAACATGTTGTTTGTGGGGCTTCGCAAAGGCAGCGGGGAAAAACAGCAGATGGTGCGGAGTAAACTACAGCATCTCTACTCACCAGTTTGGTTGGTCGGCTCGCTGTTGATTTCTTCAAGTGGCTGCGGAGGAAATGGGTGTGCGGATTAGTATTTGAGCGCTTGGGGTGGCGCTGTGACCTCACCTGCTCCTCATGAATGACTTGGGGAGGGATTTGCTGCGATAGTTGGCACGTGCTGGCGACACGAGAGCACCCGTGTCTTGCAGGTCACCTCCCCGCGTGCCATCATCAACGGAACTGTCTCTGGCGGCTGATGGTGGTTCAATTTTCGTATTACTACACTTGGTGTCTGTCATCATTTGGCAATTCTGATTACTACTATAAGGTATCTTTATGAGTGTATCTTTTGGTGTGTCTTTCTTCTGAAAATCATTTTTAACTTTCATTCCGGCACTGCTATTGCTACTTTCTATACATGAACTATACATATCAGAGCGTCTGCTGCAAATCTCATCGTCCAGGCTATTGCTTTTGTCGCCGGGGCATTTCACCTTGCGCGAGTGCTGTTGATGGCCACCCGTGCAACTGAAAGACACAGAGACATGGGACGTGGCGTGACGAGGAGCCCCAGGATTAGAGGACCAGTGCCAAGGCATGCATACTTGGCCGAGGAAGAGAATGGGCACATGTGGGATCTCAGGGGTTGCGGGGTGACTCGTTAATTTCCCAAACATCCCACAGACAGGGGAAGATTCTCTACAGCCCATGAGAAAGTTTCCTCTTTCTCCCGTTAAACATCACCAATGATTTTTGCAGGATATTTTCTTATTTCTTTTTCGGGGTGTAAGAATGGAAGAAGAATATTATATGAAAAAAAAATTCTACTCAACAAGTTTACCTTCTTCAACTTCATTTCTCATTTAAGAACACAGGCAGGAAAACTCCATCGCTAAACCTGACGCTCTTCCCAAGCATCAAACTTTGCCTTACAAAACCGCCCACATCGAGACTCCGCGCGCACGGAGAACAAGAAAATTTTGCCAAATTGGAAAATAAACATCAATGGCCTATTAAATTTTTCCCCCTTATTAAAGAGTGATCGCGATTCTGAGAATCAATTACAGCGACAGAGGGAAACGCATAAATTTTCCTTTATGCCACAAGAAAATCTCAAACACCCGGAATTTCGCATTATTGAGCTCTCAATGGGTTAGAGAGCTTCATATTAAAAGCTAATAATTCATTTTTTGCAAAGCCACTGTTCACATTATTGAATTTCTTCTCAAGTACATTTCTCAGCTGATGTCGGTGGCACTGTTTGAAAAGTTTTAAAATCCCTGCAGTGGCGTAGAAATCCAGCTACAATCTCATTAGAAAGCCCCGCCCATTCGAATACTCCGCCCATGAGTGAATAACCGCTTATTTTAAATTCAAATTTAATGATGTTTTCCATTGAAAAGTTTTACAATTGAAACATCATCTAAAAAAGACTACACCACTGAATTGTTATGAAACTTTCCACTGAAAAAAGTTTTTTTTGTTCTATTCGCACGAATAGATGTTTTTCTCATGATATCGCAAAATTTCTAGTCAATGTCTTTTAAACTGAAAATTGCAACTTGATCCATTATCCAATGCAAAATAGGGTCAGATTCTTCTTCTTGAATAAAATATGAGAGAATGTGTTAACCTAGGAATTTACTGTGCGTAAGATGACGCGGAACAGAGCGCAAGACAAAGTGCCGCAATTTATAATCTCTTTAGCGAAAGCAATGCTGGAGGACTCTCACTCCAGTAAAGCTTTAAGGAGCTTTTCCCTTGAATGCCTCACTGGGCTTCACATCATTTTGTGGAACTCCAAGTGAGACATCGCGCGTTCGAAGAGTGAAGAAGGCATCCTTATTGATGCTCTACCAAGAGATTCCTCAATAGATTGGACCGGAAATTTGCACAGCCATAGCCTCAAGAGATAGACAGATAGAGATAGAAGAAGAGAAGAAACATTGTGCCTACCTTTCGCTAGAGTCCTGCTCGCTGCGGCTCATGGAGGACGTTTGGGAGTGGTAGGGTGGCAGCGAGGAGTCCCTCTTGGGTGTCGCCTTGCCCTTTGGGCCGTAGTCCATAATAATTGGAGATCTGTTGCGCCTCCACGGTTGATACACGAGCTCGTGCTCGTACAAGCGACTGCCATAGGAGCCCGGCTGCTGCACGCGCTGATTCTGTGCGAGATTCTGCTGGTTGTACTTTGACTCCGTGAAGATGCGCTCATTGCTGGAGTTGACAAAGTGCAGACCCGCGCTCTCGTCGAATGAGGTGACTTTGGGATCGAAGTCGAAGCTTCCGCCGAAGGATTTGCCCTCCATGTCTAGCGACCGAGCGTTGGTGTCCTGCTTCAGCTTCTGGCCCTTCTCTTTCGCTCGGGGCTGCACATTGGCGCCCTGGTGGTGCATCAGGGCCACAGGATGGGGCGTGGGCGGAGGGTACTTAGAGTTCCGCGAAGGTCTCGCCATGGCGGCTGCTCTGGTGGCCATTGGGACGCGACTGGGCGACCGTACGGATAGTTGCAGGGATCTGGAGCGACGGATCCTCGATTCAGTACTTTGACGATTCGGTTGACGTCGATAGATATCCCCCGACGTCCCGACGTCCTCAACACTTGAGCTGGAGCTCCGACTAGACACGTACACATTATCCTCCTCGTAGTTCTTGGCCGCTCTCAGGCTGTTGGCCAAGTAAGTGGCCTCGTAACTTCTGGCCAGCTGCTGCGGCGTCCTTATCACCACCCTGTCGTCCACAGGAGGCGCCAGAGAGCGACTCTCCACAGTGTTGGATCTGTGGAGTCTTGTTCCGGCGCCCGCGGTGGGGAACATCGATCGACTCCTGGTATTCCTGCCCATCTGATAGTCCGACACCACGGGCGGGTAGTTGTATTGGTTGGCCTGTGCGATGCCAGGAGTCTCGTTATCCTCCTCATCATTTGAGAAATCTATACACAAGGGAATTGAATATTAATTTTCTAATAATACCTTAGGTTATTGTCTCTCCCAAAACTTTCTATACATTCCACGAAATTCTCCTCAAGACTTCACCAGCAAAATCCTTCGCACACATGAAACTCCGTTTTCTCATCATTATAATCCACGTATTTTCATAGAATATTGGATAATTGCAGAGTATCACAGATTTTCAGTATAAAGATTTTAATTGCCATGGGGATTTGAAACTTCCTCTATGATTATGAACTCTCATATACACTTGGTTGCTGTGAGAGATCGTGTTCTATTTTGCTAAGTTGTGTGACACGAGGAGAGGGATTTTCCCGTCAGCCACTATCAGCCCAAAACACTCACCCGATCTTGTGCCACTGTCGTACGAGTTGAGCCTCTTGTTAATTGACGAGGAAGTGGTGAGACTCCTGTATCCTCGCATCGTGGCGAAGGTGGAGCCGCCCCTGTTTACCCTCACGCTGCTCACAGCCGCTGACTTCTTCTTGTCGCCTCCAATCGCCTGTGTGCCCATCTTCGGCGGCAGGCCCGTCTTGGAGTTGTACGAGGGCTTCGCGGTGAACTTCGCCTGAGTCGCATTGGCGGGTGGCGCTTCGGCGACTTTGAAGCCTGTGGCGCGGCCCGTGAGGTAGTTGGGCGAGATGCCCGTGAGCGAGGCGAAGGCGCTGGACTTGTTCTTGGGCGGCACAGCCTGCAGCACTGTAAGATGATTGCTCTGCTGCGGTGCTTCGTATTCAAACTCGAAGCTCTTGGAGTAGATGTCCTTGTAGTCAGACTTGAGCTTTGCGGAGTCGCCCTCGAAGCTGCGCGAGAAGACCATCCTCTTGCCCTGCGGATCCTTGGCCGGCTCCTTTAGGCCGCCCGAGCTGGTGTCCTGGAAGGCGGGCGGCGGTGAGATGATGTGAAAACCTGTGGTGGGCGACATCGGCCGCTCCCCAAGAATGGGCGCCTGCAGCGTGTCCGTGGCCAGGGAGTGATGGTGGATGTTCTGCAGTAGCAGCAGCTTTCGCGCCTCATTCCGCGCAATGAGCTCCTCGAGTTTCCTGTGATTGTCACTCTTGCGTGACCCCGCGCGACCAAATTGATGCTCATCCGTCTCGGGTCGATGCTTCACCTGGCAATCAATGCGGAAGGAGAATTTCAATTTGCTTGCCACAACTTTTACGGAGTTGCCCAGAAACTTGAGCACACATTCATCACGCTGGCTTCTGCGAATATTCCTCACACTCTCGCTTTCTCTGGGAGAGAGAAAAATGACTTTTCAAATAGTTGAGGACAGTGTATTACAAATTTTTCAATCCACTCATCATTTCCTTTTGTGCTATTCTATCTGGAATCTCATATTTCATTCATCTCTTATGTTGTCTTAAATATTTCCGCAGGGAATTTTCCCCGGAAAGAATGTCAATTTGTGAATTTTGTTTCTAAATTTGAATGGAATTTAGTGTTTGTTTTTTGGGGGGAATTTTCAGCCTCTCAACTATTTCCAAATTCAATTATAGCCAAGGATAAAACAAACAAGTAATAAATCCGAGATTATAGCGCGAATATGAGAATATTTACCTAAGCGTGCAATTTTTATCAAGATCTCAAATTAACTTAAATAAACAATTGCTAAAGTGTTGACTCATCTTTCGGCGAGTTTACTCATGAAAAAGAAAATCCTTTTGCATACTTAACAATTTGTAAAGTGTGCACATTTTGCGATAAAACACCTCTTTTTTCACCTTCTGCGGAATATTTATTGGAGCTTGACTGAGTATTTATCTAGGCACACCTGATAAAGAGTATCGATTGCAATACTTGGCAAAATGGAGTGAAGAGATGGAAAATGCTTTCTTCTGGCAACAAAAAGCTTCATTTTTTCAGCGCGGAAAATCAATGACGCAGCATTTTATCGCATTCTCTCGAATACACACACCTTCAATTCCGCATGTTCTGAGAGCTAAATGTTGATTGAAAGAGCCTCATTTATCAATCACAAGATCCTGAATTTCATCATTGCCACCTTTTTCCTGAAGGAGAAACATCATTTCTCCCCTTGTGATGAATGAGTGGTAAACTTTTTCAGGAGGAAATTGCTGTTGAGAGTGTAATTTAAGAGTCATCTTGTGCTCTTATTTGGATTTTAATCAAGAATTTAATTAAGTAACTGTACACTATTGCGTCTTTTAATAGATACTAATAAGTCTGGCGTTGCAAGTCGGATAAGCTTGTTTAACATCGAGTTACACAAAGTCATGGAAAGTGATACTTTGTGATTAAATCATTGCTCTGGGTAAACTTGCAATGATTTTCCTGTTTTCCGGACTTCCCAGCAAAGTCCAGTGTCCTCTTTTTCACTTAAATCAAGTGGAAATTATAGCTTGGTTTTAGAATTAATTATATCTCACTGATATGAATAAGAATTAATTCGTACTTGAGCTTGTTTTATATCTATGCTCCAGTAATTAAAACATAAAAAATTCAAATTAGACTTTCATCACTTTCATTATTAATTCCAACAAAAGTATTCTCCATCCCAAGTGACTGTGTATATATACTTCTATGACCGAGAAACTTTTCTCTCACAGCGGCAAATGGGAAAGAGGCCTCGTGTTCAGCAAATCAACATGACTTTTCTCAGAATCGGAATTGTACAAATTGTTGGCGTTGGAAACAATTTCATCGCAGGGTCGAAATGTGAAGGCAGGGAATTTGGGGAATGCAACTGACCTGCACCCAGCCGGACCTGTTGAGGAAGATGTCGTTCTGCTGCGTGGCCGTCTCCCCAAAGAGATACGTGGACGTCTTGGTCGGATTGTGGTAGTGCATGTCTCTCACCCTGTCCACATTGTGCACTGAAGCGGCGTCCGGAAAGGCCTTCCCTTTGCCCTCTGGTGTCTTGGGCAGGGGTAAATCGCAAAAATCGATTTCGCTGCCGTCAGCAACGGTCGGATTTACGAGCAGGTGGCCACTGAAAAGCGGGCAAATTTTATAATACAATTGTTGTTAAATGATTAAATCTCACACTCCGCCTGCCACCCATCAAAATTTCATGCCATCCTTCATCCGCTGCGACACGCCAAGTGGCTCTTTTTTCCCATGCTCGCGCGCCCGCCTTACGTGTTACCCATGCTATCAAAAAGACATAATCAAAATTTAAATGTAATCGCGTCTTAATTGACTCACGGGGAGTTCCCTGGAATTCTCCTACTCCCACACATTGGCACGCACACGCGTCAAGGGATGCCGAGGGGCAATATTGTCTCCCTCTTGACTCACGCAAATTCAATCCTTTCACCTCGCTCATCAATTTCCCGCACAATCACCGGAGAGCTTCAGATTGGCAAAGTGATTAGCAGGAATTTCTCTAGATAAGATTGCGATTAAGGATATTTTCCCTGATTAACACTTGTTAAATACATCCCTGATTTGTACACCATAAAAAATATGAGGAAATTTTGTTTTCACATCAGTGAAAGGGCGAAAAATTTCACATTTTGTCGCTGACAATTTCATATTTATGACACTGTTTTTCATTATGTTGGGCTAATAAATTCATATGGATATTAATTTTCATTCGTCTACAAAGGAATTCGTGAAATGTTGTGTCCAATATGAAAGCATTAATAATTACAATTTGAAAAAAAGATATCAAAAGTACGAGACGGGAAATTCATTAAAAATGTGGGGAAATTTCACTATTCAGTATTCATGCGACATCAGCAGAATATTTATGAAATTATTTCCAACTCCGCCAACAGTAATTTTCCATACAAAGCAATCAAACGCAAGGATTGGCAGTAGAAATTCTAATCATATCGATTTTCTGGTGACATTTCCAGCTCGGCTATCAACACTCCTTTTAGTAGCATATTTTCCTCACGAAATTGTATTTATTTTGCAAACACCGATTATGCTTTGGAGTGTCTTTCCATGGGAGAGAGAAGATCCCATTCCCGCACAATTCTCACCGCAGGGTGGAATTAATATTAAAAGAAGAGGCATCTCTCTTATCACCTGCCAGGAACATAAGAAAACACTCACTCACACGAGCACACTCCAGTTTCCGCCTTATGTAAATTCATCATGAATTCTCGACCCATTCTGGCCTTTTACGTGCTCGATGGATGGAAAATAAACCAGAGGCGCGCTCATAACCTTTTCTCATCGTCTCTTCCACACACATTCACACAATTACACCTCGTTCGGGCTGCGTTGTATAATTGATGTGCATCATTCAATCAATGAACATCAGCATGCTGCATGCCTCGTGGCTTCTGCCTAATCAGCTGGATTTATCTTGGCGCGCGCAAATGAAGCCACAAACTAGCGCCTCCCAGAGTTGGGCACCGACATTCGCCGCCACTCGAGGAAGTGTAGACAAACAGCCCTCAGCTCTGACTCCTCTTCCGACCAATCCGCAAAGTACACATCACTCAGAGAGATGCCCAAAAATCGATACCATCACCATGGAGTCCATTCATTCGGAAGAGAAGCAGATATCGACCTTCATGCAAATGCCATACAAAACACAAAAGTTGAGGTCAACTCTTGCAACCGAAGCTCTCTCCAGAGTGTTTTCGTGCAGGTTAAAAGCATTCTCATATCAGTTTCCCGTCCAGAGTTATACCCACACATCCGGATATCCTATTTTCCAGCGTCTGCTCGCAGACTTTGGGGATTCGCGGGCTTTTTGCACAGTGTTGTAACTGTTTTTTCAAAAAATGAAAATAACATTTTGATGAGTTTAATGAGAGAATGAAAGCACCTGAAATAGGATAATCAATATGCAAGAGCTCTTTTTATAGGTCTCCATGGGCAACAAAAACCGTGAAGAGATGGTGCTTTTGGAATATTTTGGAAGTGCTAAACCTAATGCAAATAAATGAAGTCGCGATTACAGCTGACACTTCGCTACGCGACTAACGAAGTTTGCGAGGGAAAAAGCTCTTTAAGAATAAATGAAGCGCATTTTGCTAACTACTTAGCATAAATTCCTACAATGCAGTGGATTATTCTGCGCATGAATGTACGAAATTTTTATCTCGACTGAATTACAATTTCTGACTTCGTCTGACGATTGTATGGGACTGTCTTGCAATATATTGTAAGAATGTCGTATGACAAGCGGGTAAGCAATTGTTAGAAATTTTCGTTTTTTTTCTTCAAAATATCCAGAAAAATAATTTGCTCTACATTGAGTTACTACACTTTTTGGCCAAATTGCTGAAACCAGCGATGTTATTTATGTATAAATAATTTGATAACAATTAAATGTATTTGATATTTAATCAACATAAAAAACACAGTATGAATTGCTGAAATTATGTTCAATTTAATTCCTGGAAATTCAGCTGTAAATGATTGGCAGGTGCCTGAAAATTGCATTTGACATCCTTTATGATACAAAAGAGTATAAAAAATATACGACGAAAATTAATTTGTGAAAAAATTGAATTCCTGATAGGATTTCGACACTGTGAACGCAATTTTTCATCCCCACTGCGAAGCTGGTGACAATATCATGAATAAAAGCTTCAGAAATGATGGTGTTTTCAATCCAGATTTGCTGGAGTTTTCGCAGAATTCCATACACATATAGACACACAACTCACATTCTATATCCTGGTGCACTTTACTTATTGCCTGTCGAAACACTGTATTCCAGGACAAGAGTCTTTGTCCTATTGCGATACTCATTCGCCCCCATTCGATGCAAAGAGGAAACCTTTTGTGCTGAAATACTATCCCAGATGGGAGCATAAATTCCTCATAGCACTAATTAAGTACATTTTCACTGTGAAATAACTTGCACAAATTTTCTACAATTTGCAATTCTGTTCAAAGAGTGGGGAGATTTTAATTACAACGCACCCTCGAGCTGCGCCATGTGTAGGATGTTTTCGGGTAAGTCGAAACCACCTTCCTCTCTGTCTCCCTAAACGTGTTAATGGTCACAGTGGCCACGATTTCATGTGGAAAAAAAACTGAAACATTTTTAGTGCAGTATCGCTGTCCCACATGACAAGTTTTTCATCCGGGACGTTGTGCAATATTGGAGTGCATTGCATGGTGAAAAAAAAGCACGCGACTTGCCATGCAATTAAGTTGGATGGGCGCAAATATATGAGAGACGGCGTGCAGAAAATCACTGCTAGCTGCTTGATGGACACACTCAATGTCCTGGGCATAATTGAGAGGCGTGCAAAAAATGTCGACAATGGCGATCATCTCTAGCCCAAGAGATTATGGGACGCCGCGTCTTTGGGAAGAGACATGACGCGTGGTTAAAAGCGAAAGCATCCCACAAGCATCGAAGGCGCTGAGAAAGTGTTTTATGTGTTGGAATGCTAAAAGACCTGCTCGAGGTTATCGCACCAGTTTCACACTTTTGTGCATTGCCGATTGGAAAGACTACATATATTGCCATGAGAAAGTCATCTTGTGGCACAGCAGCAAAATTGGCTGGTACAACGCTGAAAAATGCCACCAACACTGCGTGTGTATTTCTTGTTCAGGAAAAATTAATTCAAGAGCTGCGAGTGGTCTTGAAAAATTTCACTTAGAAATTGTCATCACAAAAAATCATTCACAAATCTACAGGAATATTTATGAGCCAATGAGTCGAGGTGTACAGTGGCGGCCAAAAGAAGTGGCTACACACAAGAAAAATGATCAATTTTGCTGGGATTTGCAGAAGCAACAAGTGTATTGATGCAGTTTTCTTGTCTAAACTCTCCCAGCTAATGAATTTACTCCATGATGTTCTTTTACACTTTCTGGGTGGAGTTATGCTCCCTTTCGGCCATCAATCAAGATAATCCACAGTCTTAAAACGATGAAAATAATCACATTAGGAGCTTTGCCACAGTCTCTTGACCGCCACTGTAGTTGAATTTCACATTTGGCCAAATCATCAGACACTGAACCGGCCAAATTTGGTAAGTCTCCGTCCGGACAACTTTTTTCCTCACTGCGATTAATTCTTCTGGTTTATTTGGTAACATTTTCCTCACACATGCACGCCAAAATCGACACTCGAATCACACAATGAACCTCTTGTAAGGCAGTTCCAATTTTTTACGTACATCTGTTCACTATTTCAGCATCCACGGCGTGTTCTTGGCCACTCTGAGCGCCCCAGAACCGGGAAATGCGTGTGATACCTCGGAAAGTGCGGTGAGAGATTAACAGAGAACTAGAGTACTGGATTTAATTGCCACCTGTGTTAAATTTCAAGGACACCCCAGTGAAAACCACTGTCAATCCCGCGACAAAGAGCGCGCGCCAGAGTCACTTTGTGTATGGGCGGGAAAAGCGAGAAAAACTCGCCTGCGAACTGGAGCCCAGCGCGGAATGGGGCAGCGAAGGATGCTTGAGGAGCCAGTGGAAGTATGTGCACACAAATTACCTGTGCGAAGTATCACCAGCGGTGAGCGACGCGAAACTGATTTCATTTGATTGCAACTGCGATGTGTTTTCTTTGGCCTCTTGCCGAACTCGTGGCGATGTTGGGGCTTCGTTGTCTTCGTTGGCGCCACCGCCTCGACCTCCACTCTCACCAGCTCCGCTCCCCACGTCCTCATCTCTGGCAGCATCGCGTTTGCGCGACTTCTCCTGCGTAGGTCCAGTTGACTGAACTGTCGCTGATGACTTCATGTGCGATGACTGGATGACGGAGGATCCACTTCCATCTCTGACACTCTGGAAAATGCCAAAGCGAGTGAGTGAGACAGTTTGTGAGGAAATGTGGCGAAAGGCACTCAAACTTTTTCCACCTCGCGCTGCCCGTCACTACCAATTACACCCATTCGTCGTTGAGATTAATTCGCTGAGGTAACTTCTTCTGAAGCTCCCGCCTTGGCTCCCGCAGGAAAAGTTTACATTGGCCATCTACAATCCCAATATTAGGCAAATGGGTTTAGTTTGACGAGGGCAAATAATATGGTCAGGGATCAGTTGCCCTCGCAAGCTGCTCTAACAAAATCAGGATCGAGCATTCTTATGCTAAGGAATAAATTCAATATTAAAGTTCACTTTTTATCCCAGAATTTCAGTCGTTGCCTAGAAATCAAAAAGCTTTAGGGGGAAACTGAGGCAATTGCGAACGCAATCGTTTTTCAACGTCAGATTGAAATTCTCAGCTTTATGCGCTCATTCTTTCTTAGATGACATTTCTTAACTCTTTCACTAATCACAACCAGACTAAGAAATTCTACAATAATCTACTTCAGCTTTAACAGATAATCAATTCAGGATTAGATTATGTATTCATATGATCCCATTTGTGCTTCACAGAACATTCTCTGTGTCCGTAATTGCTCCAACTTCCTCAACTTTCAATTTATCAGAAAGACATGATAAAAGGCATTGTCTTGCTATGAAATATTCAATAAAAAGTCAAATGAAGGATGTCATCTGTCCAATCAATTTACACAAAGACTATAGAGAGACAAGCAATGTATGCAAGAGAAATCAATAAATATTCTATGAAGAAGGAAGGAAAAAAAAACACACGTAAACCTTCAATTTGAGAGAAAAAAAACCTTGCAAAAGAGCCCACTCGAGGAAATAGATCAATTTGTGCAAAGAGTGAATAGAGACTATTCATTTCATCTCAACAAATTACCCAGCCAATTGACTCTGAGAATTCTTGTGAGTGTTGCCAAGTGTAATTTCCCATACGTTTTTCTCGCCAGGGCGGCATTTCTCCCACGCAAATCACTTCTCGTGTCAATTGATTGAGGAAATTGCCACTCACCCTCTTCTCACGCCTCTGCTGGCTGTCTCTGGCACTGTAGAAAATTTGGTCGTCACTGTGCGAACCGTACGTGGACGCCTTCTGCACGGACTCCCGCGACGGCCGGCGATTCCCAGTGCCAGATGGCTCCAAATCCTGGGCAGTTTTGGGAATGGCGCCGGCGGACTTCTTTCTGCGGCGCATCGTTGTGTGCTTCTTCGTTGCATCCACATCGCTCTTCGCCACCCCAGGATCGTCGATCAGAGAGTAACGCTTCGAGTTGATTTTGTCCCGGATCTCCATCTTGCTCCTAGCCAGGAAGTCCGCATTCGCGGCGACTTTGGCCGCGTGATTTGGCACATATGCGGACTTCTTCTCTATCATGCCATAGCCGTAGTTGTGAGCTGAAAATTTATGGATTTTCGGGAAATTCAGCACACATGTGAAGCTAATTGAATGCGTTTTATTTATGGAACGTCACAAAATCAATTTATGCCAAAGTAATTTAATTAATTTATGCCCCAGTGTTCTTCAAAGTCATTCATCAAGAGCTGAACAATGAGAGAGTCAATATATAAATAACTCACCGGAGATGAAACTGAACTGGTCAGTCGATCTGGTGGTTCTCCTGTCCAGCGTGCGGACCCGACAGTCTGACCTGCCGCAGTCGCTGTCCACCTGGCAGGCCTTCTTCACGTTCTCCCTCTTGAGATGTGGCAGACTTCCGCTCCAGTACTCGCTCTTCTTCACTTGGCTCACGTGTCGCTGGTTGATGCGCAGATAGTGGATCTCCTGCTCATTGTTGCGCCTCATGCGACGCCTGGCGTAGTCGTCGCAATCCTGGCAGTGGGTATTGTCGCTAAAGCTGCACTTCTCCGCATCGAAGGGACACGGCTGGCAGTCGAAGAACATGCAGTCACTGTCGGAGCTGCCGCAATGGCAGGAGGGCTGGGATGAGGTCAGGGATTCAACGCTCTTTATGCTGCCGCGCTGCTTCACGCCCGGATGCTCCTGGTCAGAGAAGCGCGCTGATCGGCGCCCGTAGGAGTCCTCGCGCAGCAAGGATTCGCACGAGGAGTACTCTCGTCGATCTCCAGGACAGGGGGCGATCAGGGTGTTCAGGGGATTGTAGTCGCACGGGAAGGCAACTGGGGTGGTCTCTGTCTTGTAAATGCCCGGATTGTTGGGATTGTAGGACTGGAACTTGAGCACGTGCTGCTCCTGACTCTCATTGGCGGCGTCGTTCTCCTTGTTCTCATTCCACTGGGAAGCACACAGCTCACAGTCTGGATAGTCAGGTCTTGGCTGCAGAGCCTCATTCTTTGCCATCATAAAGATCTCTTCATACACATTCTCATCTCGGTGTCGAAAGCTGGGCATTCGCTCCAAGGCTCCATCAGAGTTCACTCCTGCGGCAATCTCAGTCTCCGGCGGAGCCTTCTTCTGTCCATTCCGCGTCGTCTTGAGCCCCTCCTTGAGGAGATAGTAGTTGAAGCTCTTAATCCCAATCTCCCCTTTCCAATATTGCTGTCCAATTCGCACGCCCGCGTCGCCATTCCGCATAAAGTCAGCCGTCTCTTGCGGACTCTCGACGCTCTTCCGCCTGGGGAAGGTGTTGTGGTGGTATTCAGTGGAGAAGTCCTCCTGGCTGCGATGGGAGCGCGGGGTGGCATCCAGACCGGCACTGCTCTTCCTCTTCTTCACTTTGTTCGAATGCGGCTTTTTGTGTATGCTGGAGTAGAAGCTTTCTGGCAACCTTCCACGTCTATTGATTGGCGTCGCCAGAAAATCCATGGCGCCTCGACGAGTCCCGTGCTCATCCTCCATCTTTTCGCTGAATTCCTGCAGACAAATTCCGAAGAGATTGTTGGAAAGGCGCAGAAGAACAATAAAACACCATTAAGAGTGGATTCCTCATAACAGGATGATATCATATTCTCACGTATAGAAAATACATTTTTTTCCCCAATAAAAAGACTAACAATTTCAACTAAAGCGGATCAAAGTGTGTGAGAAGACATTGGCATTATGAGAAGGGAAATTGATAAGATGTGTGTGTCGCTATGTATAGCATACCTCTTTCTCTGGTGCCTTGAAGCTGGATCGAAATTCAACTCCTCATGCTGCCTTTCTGGGGAGATATTCCGTATTTGCTCTGGGGAGTTTGTGTCCTCTCGCAGACGAGAATTCTCTGCCCTTTCACCTTTTCACCATGCGTCCCTCGGCAGACAATTTTTTCCGTGTGTGCGTTTATGTGTTTGTGTCACCCAATAGAATATTTAAATATCACATTGTCGAACCTGCTTCTCTCACATAGGATTTTTCACACAGTTGGATCACGGAAATGCCACCCACAAGCCGCCCCGGGGTTTCATTGAGGCTTTAAGGGGGAGGATTCTCGGGCGGATGCCCCACTGAAGCGATGGGGTGCGACAGGAGGGAAAAAGTGAGCTGCTCGGGCCAAGGAACGGACTTTATCTGGGGAGTGTTACTTTCACATATCTCTCGGCCCAGGAGGAAAATCAATAAATGGGATGCAATCTCGCAACACAAAACACTCTGTATCCCTCGTAAGCCACCATCTTCATTGATATTTTCCACCGAGAAGCTTCGTTTTTCGCCACTTTTCCTCCCTTTTCTGGTGACAACGAACCACTGCGGGCGGATTTGGAAGGGGAGATGAACTGAAAATTAGTCGCAATTCTCAGCTAAATTCCTCCCTTTTTCACATCTCTCGCAACACAGATTTTTGCACCCTCGAATTCACACAGCAGCAATTCATCCCAACGGAGCGTCCACTTGGCCATGATTATTCAGAATTTCACGCGAAAACACCCCGAAATGTCGCAATGCAGCATCCCGACTTTCTTCCCGTTGAAGGGAAAATGGTTGAGATTTGTTCACACTTCTCACTGAGGGTCAGAAGATGGATTTTCACGTGCCATCGGATGACTATTTTTGGACTCTTCCGCGATTCACATACAACTAAGTCAACCCTCCCCTTTGCCAAAGGTGGCTTCTGGATGGGATTTTCGGGGTGCAAAGAGAATGCAGAAAGCTCCGAAAATCCCCTCCTGACGAGAATTTTCGCCACAACATGGAGAACGCGAGAGGAAAACCCGAGAAGCCGAGAGCCCAGAGAGAGAGTGAGAGTCTGTGGGAAATCAGGGGAAAATTTGTGCTGCCAGGAGGAAAATCCTTGGGAAATTCTCTGTTTTTTCTCCCCATCATTTTGTCCTTTTTGCCATTCGGTAACGTTTTCTGCATTTCTATTCACACACGCGATATATTTCGCCCGCCGCCCTTTTGGACCATTTCACTAAATACATACATAGAAGGAAAATTCGATAATCATGATGGAGCTTAAAGCTGATGAGATTGTCAAGGAAGTTACATAGGAATGCGATATGTAAGGAGATTAAAATATCGTCAGAAAAATGGTTTTTATCTCAAGTCTCTTTTTCTGAGAATTCCTGCAAGTTTCAAGTTAACATTTTATATTAAAATGTTAAAAACGCCGCTGAAAAATGATGAAAGATTAAATCTCGTCTCAATTTCAATATCAGTGACTTAGGGGAAAATGTGTCGCGCACCTCAAAAGAAAGCACACGATGTTAGTATGTAAAAAATGTGTTCTATTTGCATCGAACTCCAACCCTGAAACATTTCCTGTAATCCTGTTGGCTCCACTCAACCGCATCTACGATGGATTTGCTTGGTTTGATGAAAACCACGAAGTCATCGTTTAATTGAAGTGGTGAGAACTTATTAGCGACTACCGCTTTGGTGGGAGCTCCCAAGTGAGCTGCGAGCGTAATATTATCCGACTCATTCCGCAAATGATCATCGATGACGCGAATTTCGGCATTTCCATGCATGCAGACACTCCCAATGTCGGTCCTGTTGAGCTCCTGCGTGCGTGGGAAGCACTTTGTGTGCCACACACCCAAGGACTGCTCCACAATCTCACCGAAACCGTCACTGTGAGAGACACACGGACAAAAAATTCCATTAAAATTCAATACCTTAGGGCCTAATTGTAATTTCACCCCAAGGATACTCTTAAGCTGCGACTTTTACTTAAATATCTTCTCGGATTACATGGCATTTCCACGTGGGAAAAGAGAGAGATTTGCTCAACTCGCTGGATATTTTCATTGATTTTTAAATATTACACCCCGGAAAATTTTCCACGCGATATGCGATGTGAAAATGAATGGGAAAAGTCACAATTTGATTTACTTCCATCACCCCAAAAACTCCAATACGGATAAATGTTATTTCAAATTGAATTTCACCCTGCGGCTTGAAGAAATGCCTTCATAATGTGAAAACATCCCCTTTTGGTCTCAAACATCTTCTTGTGTGGTGAAAGACAGACAAGGAGATATGTTAGAGAGAGAGGGAGAGAGAGAGAGAGAAATGAATCTTCGACTAGAAAATGTCATAATAAATACGCAAAATTCCAGCTGAACATTTGAAACAGAAAATCAATAGACTGTAAAATTTCCTTCTCGATATGGCAAAACGGCCAAAGCTTCAATAGCGATAAGCTTTCAAAATCTGTGATTAATAAAAGGGCTTGGGGAATTGGATATTATTTGAGTGATTAAAATATTGTGTGCGCTGAGAATTATTGCGAGACCAAAATCCCAACAGTAATTACACAGTCCGTTTTTAATGATCCTCTTTCGGTTCAATCAGCGGTAATTAATGAGTCTCTTCTAATGAGGTTTTTCCTTCCATGAATGAGGTGCGAAAAGATTTCGTCGTACGATACCAAAGTAATGACTCACCTATACAATGGATAGCGAATTCCTGTGCAGTGCTCTTCATCCTCTCCGTCTGGACAATCGTCCATTCCATCGCACACCATCTCTCGCGGCACACACAAATTCGTGCTGAAATGCAGAGGAGGAAAGTGTGAATGGGCGAAAGCAAAAGAATTCTTGGATATTTATACCTTCCGCAGACGAAATTGTCCCTGCGACACTGGCACAATTGACTATTCTCATCGTCCTTATCGTAGCAATTAGTGAAGCCATCGCACAATTTGCCAGGATTTGTCAATCTACACGAAAAATGCCAATTATTCGTCTGATGGGAAACTCTTACTCGCCAAATCTACTCACTTGAGGTACTCAGAGCATGAGCACATCTCTGGTTCGTCGGACAAATCACCACAATCATTCACATGATTGCAGAAGAGTTGCTTCGGTACACATTTTCCATTGGAACATCTCAAGTGGGTCATTGGACAGGAGGAATTTTCACGTGGAGGACACTTTTCCGGCCATTCATCACTCCCATCGGGACAATCAGGCTCGCCATTGCAGACTTTCGCCCGTTCGAGGCACTTCCCAAGGGAGCATCGATAGTCGCACGAGGGCTCAGGATGATTATCGCATGATTCGCTGAGATTTTCCAGGAAAAAATTGCCTCTAATCACGAGGGAGTGCCTCACAAATCCCACGAAAGATCGGGAATGATGACCACAGAAGAGAACTCCTGAAACATCCTTCTCAGTTGTACAGTTCGTGCAGTTATTGTGTGGGAAGTGAGTGGTCGTGAGCTTTCCAGAGGAATCATGCTGAACCACCACACAATTCGAAAAAGTTGTATTTTCCATCTCTGAATGCCTGAATATTTAAAGGATAAAGCGAGGAAAAAGATAATAATCTTGATATTTCCAGTCGAATCCCTCTCGAGGGGCCAAAAGCTACCCTGGAACTCTACAATTCATCCACATTGAACACGTCAGTATTAAAAATATGCTAAATACATATGTGTGCAGGATAAATTGTATCTTCAATATAGATCACATAAATTCTGCGAAGCTCTGAATAGCTCATGACCCCTCGATTGATCCCTTTTTCTTTCTCTCAATCAGTCCCTTTTTCTTGGAGGCCCAAAAGATGATGGCAGAAAGGAAAAAAGCACTCACTCGGAAGATGTTTGAGGAATCAGTGAGGCAGGCAAAACATTCTGACCAAACTCCACAGCTTTCTCAACACGAAGCAGTGCGAAATTGATGGTGGAATCCTTTCTCAAACAGTCAATTCGCAGAATTTCCACCCGGAGCCCCATCGAGAGTTGGCCAAGTTTGGGTGAAATCCCCAGGACTGCGATTACATAATCACTCGTCAATCTGGCGAAGGGAAGGCGGCTACATTATTTGTACACACATATACACGTAAATTAGGGAGTGGGACTTACGCAACATCCTTTACAGTGTCTGCATCTGTGGCAATCCAGCGCGTGTTCATGAGAACACCCAAACCCCTCCTCATCCCATTCACATGTACATTGGCTCGCCAGGGAAATTGATGCATTCTCTCGTTCAGGATTGATCCGCGCACTGGCCAGGCAGCCTGCGGGGAGCATTTGACGAACAGGCCGGAGCATGTGTCAGAACTTCTCATGCCCTTGTCATTTCCCACCTCTGCTCGCAATCCCGCGTCCACGGTGGTGGTATTGATGAAGCTCACAGCTGAGAATCCCAACAATGTACAAACCTGAGCGCCCACTTCACTTGCATTCATGCCATTCACGCTTGAATCGCCC